GCGCTGTCCTAGCTCGGCGGGCGCGCCACCTCTCCCACGAGTGCGGGGGCCCGACCGAGGGGAGGGGCGGCTTTCCCCCCGCCTCTCTCCTTGGGGGCCCGGCGGGTGTCGCAGCGCTTGTGGCAGAGGCTGGAAGTGGCAGTGCGCGCTGCTCGTGCACTGGGGGCGGCGGCGAGCCTCTTCTCGCCGCCAGGCAGGCGGGGGGGGGGGCGCCGTGGCCCACTTCCGGCCCTGGGGCCGGAAGTGGGCCCCAGCCCTCCCCCCTTCTGCCTGGCGGGGTACGCGGCCTTGCCTGGGCACCTTTCTGTCAATAACGATTCAAGCGGCGATCAGCTGCGACCCCCGAGGACCATCCACCCCCGCTGTCTTGTCACACTGCAGTTTCACATCAGCTGCGGTTTGCTGCGACCCTGGGGGACCAGCAATCGGGCACGCCCACCACCAAACAGAGATCATAGCGGCGATCAGCTGCGACCCTCGAGGAAATGAAGGGACCAACAATCGGACACACCTACCATCAAATAGAGATCATAGCGGCGATCAGCTGCGACCCCCGAGGAGATTGACGAGAGATCTTAGCGGCGATCAGCTGCGACCCCCGAGGAGATTAAAGGGAGATCTTAGCGGCGATCAGCTGCGACCCCCGAGAATGACCCAAGAGAATGACCATGGCCCCTGGACTCGGGGCCAGGCCGAGGGGAGAGGCGTTGCTTCCCCTCGCCTCCCCCCTCTCGGGCCAGGCGGGTGCCCCCCGCCCTTGGCCCCGGGGCCTGCCTGACGTCCTGTCAGACGTCGGTGTGGTTGCCCCCCCTCCCAGGGCCGCCTGTGTTCCGCGCTGCTCGTGGTTTGGCTCATCACTCTCAGCGGCGGTTGCCTCGGCCCTGGAGGACCGCGTGGTGTGTGTGTGTGTGTCTGTGTGTGTGTAGGCTCACGGGTCCGGGGGGAAGTGCCCAGCGGCGGACTGGGCCAGACTTTGCCTCCTGGCCCCCGCGTCTACCACAGTGCAGCTCCCCAAGGCGCTTCGCCCGATGACACCGCAGTGCAGCCCCCCCTTACCACTTCTTCTTCGCCGGCGATACTCACCACGCCAGCGGGCTCCCCCACTCCCACTCCCAGTGGCCGCACCGTGCTGGCGCGCGCTGGATGGCTCACAGTCGCACGGTACCCCCCCGACACTGTGATGTGGTCCACTGAGACTGGCCAGTGCGCTGAGTGGTTCAGCCTTCAGCGTCAGGCACAGCTTTTCAGACCCACCTTCAGACCCCCTGTGCGCTGCATCACGGCTCACGACTGCTCAGCCGGCTGGCTTACGCAGGTCGTCCGCCACATTGGCGACTCACTTCTGTGGCCATCCCATTTTCACCTTGCACAGTGACCCGCCCTGAGGTCTGGGTTCCTGCGCGAGTCATGCGCTGGCTACTTGAATTCTGGTCATTTTGTCCAGCGCACGTGCCTGAGCTAGCAATTCGTCAGCCAGTGCGTTTCCGCTTTAGCCAATTAGCCTCGCCCGTGGCCCGGACGTTGCCTCCGCCACATGACCGCTGTCTTCGTGGCCGCTGACCAAAAAAACGTATCCCCACAATCCCCCCGGCCGCCTGAATTCTGGTCATTTTGTCCAGTGCACGTGCCCGTGCTTGCAGTGCGCCAGTCAGTTCAGCCCACCCAGCTTGCAGCTGCCGTCTGAGTGGGCCGGCCGGCGCTGTTCTAGTCAATTAGCCTCGTTCGTGGCCCGGACGTTGCCTTTGCCGCCTGGCTCTTCTCTGGTGGCCGCTGACCCCCCAAAAAGTATCCCCACCAGCCCATCCAGAAACGATGTCCAGGCGAGTTGAGGTGATCAGGGAAGTGCGGCAGCAAAGAAGAGGACGGCCGAACCGCGCAAAGGAGTGAGGAGGAGAAGGAGGAGATGGATGGAAGGATGGATGAGGGAGTGGGAAGAAGGAGGATGAATAGGATGAGGAAGAGGCGGAGGCGGAGGAGGAGGATGAAGAGGAGGAGGAGGAAGTGGAGGAAGAGAAGGAGTAGGAGCAGGAAGGAGGAACAGGAGGAAGAGGAGGAGGGCAAGCACAAGGGCCAGAGGTTCTTGGATGCCTCTCGGAGCCTCTTGGGGTATCTCTTGGGCGATTCTTGGTGGCCTCTTGGGACGTCTTGGGGGTCTCTTGGCGATCCTGGGGGGTTCTTCGGGGTCTTGGGTGCCTCGGGGGGGGGCTCTTGGGGCCGCTGAGGGTCTTCTTTGGGGCCTCCTGGGGGCCTCTTGGGGGCCTCTTGGGGCCATCTTGGAGGAGATCTATCAAAGAAGAGCGGGGCTTCAATTGGGGTTGCCCCCCCAGGAGGCCAAAATGGGGCCAACATCTTAGTAACATCAATGATTTTGACTTCCTCGCCGAAGCCGTTTTGGACGCTCTGACCGCTCGCGGCCCCCCCCGTCCACGTCCACGGGGAGGGGGTAGGGGGAGGGGTAAACCCCTCTTCCGAAGGGGAAGAAGGAGGGGTGGAAGAGGAAACGCCCTAAACCACTGACGCCCAGAGGGCTGGTGGGATTCGAAGGTGTGCCCAGGAGATAGGGGTCGGCGGCGCGCAGAAGAGGATCGGGGCGATGGGGTGGGAAGGGGACGAGATCTTATCAGAGGAGGAAGAATTCATTCATGGGGGCGCGCGCACTGCAATGATGTAGAGGAACGGCCCTGGTTTCTACCCGCGTGGGCCCCTTCTCCCTGGTGATTTGGCGCCCCTGATAGCTGCGCTTCGCCTAGAGGTTCGTCGCGGTCGTGCTTGCGCTGTTTGGCGATGTTCGGGCATCCTTGTCATTTGCAGCACACCGTAGCTGCCAGTGTTTTTGGTTCAGGGTTTTCCTTGGCGACCTGCGGCCTTGAGCTGCATGCAGCCCAGGAGTCTTCCTGGATACTTGACCGGGGCCATCACAGCCCCCGCCATCTCTCTCTTTCCGTTCGGGCCCCGCCATCGTGCCCGGCGCGGCCGCCGTGCCCTGACCCTCCTGGCTGCGAGTGCGTATGCGCGGAGTGCTCAGTGCCGTCGTGGCTGACGGCCCCCACGTGCCCAGATCAGACGCCGCGCCCAGCTTGCCCAGAGCTCGAGCTTAAGTGGGAGAAGGTAACCGCGATTTTCGCCATCGGCCAGACGATCCAGGCGACCGATCCAGTCCTCTGGAGGCTCGCTCTCAGGGATTGCCAGCATCGCATTAGTGGAGATGGCGCTCGTTCGGCTTTCAGGCGTCTCTTGCCAGGTAGGCGTTTTCTCAGTGGTACGACGTCGACGTCGTCTACCACAAACGCGTGGCACTGACACCGCAAACGCAGCAGAAGTGGTACATCCTGACCCATGACCTTGACCTGTCCGCGGTGGCGCTGGACGGCAGCGAGGGCGCTGACGGCGTGGCGCGCATCCTTGACCTAGCCTTCGGCCCGGGGGCCGCCTGCCTCGGTTCGATCGGCCAGCATATCGTTTCCGAGCTGACCCGACGCTTGACGAGCTGAAGGGCGAATTACATCCGCGAGGGACAGCGACTGGCTCTCGAGGAGTGTGCGGCCTTGGGCAATCCTCCGGCCCCAGAGACGGACGTGGTCATGCCGGATCGGGAGGTGGTCCCGCTGCACTCGACGTCAGGCGGCTGCTTCGTTGAGAGGCGCCCGCAGCGGCGGCCGCTCGGGCCGCCCGTGCCGACCTGGCAGGCGATGAGCGGCAGCGGCTGGGCCGGCCGCCGCCGCGCGGGCCGTCGGCGCTGGAGTGGCCAGGGCGGTGGCGGACGAGTACCCAACGCGCGGGCTGCTAAATACCCCTGGAGGGTACGTTTGGCCGCGTGGGGGGCCTGGGCGTCGTGGGAAGCCCGGCGTCGTGCGGTTGTCCGATTACGACGCCATGGTATTCTGTCATGGCCAGGCTCGTTGCGCCGAGCTAGTGCCACTGCCCGAGCTGGAGGAGGCGAGGCGCAGCAGGCGGGGCATCTTTGGTCCAAGCTCGGCGATGGGTCGGCGTCGCCGGCCTGGGCTGCCAGGCCCCCGCCGCTGCCGCCACCTGCGGAGCCGCCCGACGACGACGAGCCAGTGGGCGGCATCCGCACTCATCCTGCGGCCGCGGAGTGCGCCAGGACTTGGTGGATCGACTACGACGCGCGTGGCCGAACGGTCTCGCTTTCGTTCCAACATGGAGCTGGCGCTTCGCCAGCGGGCCGTGCGGCGCGTGAGCTTCGACGATGGGGACGGCCCATGGCGGCCAGCCGTCCCCGAGACGGCCGCGGAGGGCACCTGGGCACTGGATGAGGACTTCGACGAGGTCCCCGCCTGGGGGCTGGATCAGTCGCGTTGGAAGATCTGCCGCAGCGGAGTCTGGGACAGGCCCGAGGGCGTCGCTATTTTGGAAGCCCGCGTTGCGTTGGCCTCAGTCCGCCGCTTTACCCAGACGCGGATGGGCCACGACACTCGGTCAGGCGTATCAGCGCTTATCTCCTCGCACGTGGCATCCGTCTGGCCGTTCGTTGGATCCCAAGTGAGATGAACAGTGCTGACGGACCTCCCGCATGTTCGACGACAGTGTTTCCTGTTCCTTGTCCTTGACCTCGGGCATCCCGGCCCGCATTCTTCGGGCGGGCTCTGGGAGCTCGCTGGGGCCTCGGGGGCAGGTCGAGATCGAGCCCTCAGACTGTTGTCTTCCTAAACCGTCGTCGCGTGATTCCTCCCAAGTTCAGGGCGGGGGCGCCACTTTGACGCCGAGGGTTGGTACCATATATCATACGTCGCAAGCGTTGCCGCGCGAACATCAAGCACGCGAGTCTACAGGCAGCACAGCGTCAACCAGCATACGGTCTGGAGCAATACGTTATCAGAGCCACAATCAGCAGCATTACAATCGGCCCCAACAGCGGTATCCAGGTGAGCCAGCAAGTGCCATACAGACAGCAGAGCACCACGAAGCTGACAGGTATCATCATCATAATCATCAGCAAGCTAGAGCGGTCCATCGGTTGGTGGCCGCCACGGCTCAGGGTAATGTTCGGAGCGGCGGCTTCTCGCCGGGCGCGGGGCCACGCGCTTCCAGGCGCCCTTCCGCAGCCGAGGCACCCGAGCCCGTGTCGGCTGGAGTTAGCGGCGGGCGCAAGGCGGCCGCCTCCGGGGGCGCCAGCGCAGCCGGCGCCTGCACGGCCCGCGGCCGCGGCCCAAGGCCAAGCGAGGCAGGCGCGATCGCTGTCGCGGCCGCCTGCCGCCGACCCCCAGCAGCACCAGGGAGCAGACCAATCTTTGGCCGGGGCCCTGGCGCCGGAAAGGCCGGCTGCCGCCGAGCCGGAGGGGGCGAGAAACGCTTATGGACCCTGGGCGCCGCCGGCGAGTGCGATCGCCTTCGTCGAGCTCTTGCGCCGCGTCCGCGCGCTTGGGCGCGGGCGCCCAGCGGCAGCGGCCTTTGGCGGATCGCTCGAAGGGTGCCTGCTCAAGCACCTCGAGGGGGCCATGGGGGTGCAGAGGGGTGGGCCCACGCTGCTGGCGACGAGGGCGGTGACCGGGCCAGTGCACGCGGAGCACATGTTGGAAGTGAATCGCTCCATGGAGTTTGCCGGGGGCCGAGGCCGAGATGTACGCGACATCGATGATTCTCGCTTTGCGGCTCTTTCGCCAAGCCCTTCGAGAAGCACGTCTTGGCGTCGAGGCGTCTCTGGACTCGCAGACGCTGGCGGGATGGCTGCGATTCTACTCGGCGTTGAACTGGCTGAGTGCCAGGCTGTTGTCGAAAACTTAGCGAGCTCCCCGCGGCTAGTACAAGTTGCGCCCTGGCCGCTCGCGGAGGCCCGAGGCCCTGGGCATCTGGTTTGAAATCGTGAATGCCCCGGCGACAACAGGGCATCCCGACGTGGCCCTGTCCATGCTCCTCATGTTATCGACGTGCCACCTGGATGTACCTGGGGCCAGGGCGGCCAGGGCAGCTGCTGTCCATGCAGGGCGCCGGGCGGGCCCTTCCGACGACGGGGGCGACTGCCGTTTGCTTTATGCTGGCGCACCTGGACGAGCTGGCAAGTCGGGGCAAAATCGGCGACGCCAACGTCTCCATCCCCTTGTATTCCGGCTGGGTTCCGCGGCTGGGGCCCGCGACGGCGCGGCCCCGAGGTGTGGCGGGCGACGGGCCCCTCTGGGGGATAGAGTCATCGCCCACCAAACCACCCCAACCCAACCCGAAGGCTTTAATTTGCCTTCCATCTCCAGTGAGGAGTGTCGGGGAATATTGAACAAAACACATGGAACCCGTGCCCCCCCAACCCGAAATTCGGGTCAAATGCGGGTCTTCGGGTTGGGTTGGGATGGTCTGGTAGGTAATCATAGACTGCGCGGAACTGCTGAAGAATTCGCATCGGGCCGCTCGGTTCACCGGCGCGCAGCGCCCGGTGCCCAACCAGTTCTGGCGCTCGGGCCCGAGCGTCGATGCAGCTCGCGGCCCTCGCGCGCTGGCCGAGAATCGAGAAGCGCGGGCAGCGGCGGAGCGACAAGAGCGCGCTGCGCTACAAGCGCGCCGCATAGGCCGCGGCCGGACATTGCCAGCGCCCCCTGACCATCCAGGAGCGCGCCTCCGAGTGCGAGCGATGCTCCGATGAGGTCATCCTCCGCGGGCGGGTCGCCCCGTTGCCTGCCGTGGAGATGCAGGCATATTCGACGCGTGTTTCGCAGAAGCCTTCGCGGGACAGGGCGGCGGAGCCAAGTTTATCGCAGGTGGATCCAGGCGAGGCTGTGGGGAAAAAGGGCCACGGCGCCCATAGCGACCTCGCCGTGCCTCGCGCGCTGCGTCCTCTGCTCTCGGGGGGGTCGTGCTCTCGCGCGAACCGCCCCCACCTGGTGTTCGAGGACGCGCTCCCTACACATGCCCGCGAGCTACGAATCGTCCCCTCATCAAGACGCAAACGTCCCAGGTTCGGTGCATTCTCTTCAAAGTTTGAGCGCGCATCTTGTTTTGGGATCGCATGGAAATCCGTTGATTGACACATTTGTGTAGACAGGCGCAGCAGCCCGCAGGCCCTGTCTGGGCCGTAGGCCATCGCGATCACCGAATTAGCGCTGTTCACGAGATATGGCGCAGCAGAAACAAATCAGCACTGCTGCGCAGTTCTCCGCCCCCCCCGCTCCGCTCTAAGACAGCATTGGGGCGCGTGCGCTTATACATGATGCAACCGAACGGTCCTTGCCGCTACCCGTGTGGACCCGTTCTCCTTGGTGGTTTGACGCCTTTGGTAGCTGCGTTTAGCCTCGGGGTTCGTCGCGGTCGTGCTTGCACTGTTTGGGGATGTTCGGGCATTTGTGTCACTTGCAGCCCACCGTCGTTGCCCGTGTGTTTGGTTCCCGCCGCCAGCCCGAGGCTTTTTGAATGAAATGATTTTCCTGGGAATGTATGTATTGTTTCGGGAAGTCGAGCCTTGTCACATTTGTGTAGGGCCGGCCATCATGGTGACTTTGCGTTGTTCACGATATATGCGAGGTGCTACGCCGGATAAATCATTCAGAACTGCTGCGCAGTTCTCCGCCCCCCGTTCGCAGACAGCATGGTCATGACAGTTCGCAACCCTTTAGTTTCTGCTTCCGCGCTGCATCCAGATACGAACGCCGCTAAAACCATCGTTCTACCTTACTCTCGAAGGTCTTCGTAGGCCTCCGAACCTTTTTTGAGAAGCGCAGCGCCCCGCCTTATCAGAGAGCCGCCTCCCTCGCCCCACTCGCTTCTGCGCGCCGCCGGGTGTCACCGGGGGCTCCTGGAGGTCCCCTGAGGTCTCCTGAAGTCCGGTGAGGCCTCCAGGGGCTTCGGGTCCCGAAGGGGGCCCCCCAAGGCCCCAAGCGTCGACCCGCGAACTCCGAGGAGATCTCTCGCCATGCATGGGGTGTCTTTCATCATTTGAGCATTCAGGCTCTATTGCATGACGGGAGCCAGAGGCACAGGCGGCGACGGCGCCAGGCTCGAGGGCGACTCGGAGGTTGATCGAATCCCCACCCTGCCAAGTTGGATCGCGACTTGCTCCTTTGAGGTTGTCGAGAGGGTGTTGCGGCCGCGGTGTCTGCGGGCGTGCGCCCGTCGGGCCTGGTCCCGGGTCGTTTTCACCAGAGCGGGGTTTGTCATAAAGGGGGCTCTGTCCACCTCTTCATCACGCGCCCACTCCTATGGCTCACCCGGACGAACGTCCCATCGCTCTCCCCATCGCTCTTCTTCGCTCTCCCAGCGGCGTCCAGTGTCCAGTGCTGAGATTCGCGCGCCCATTTGGCAACAGACGCTCGGCGCGCGCCTGGAGATTCTCTTACCGCGCGTCGTCGCTCCCCATGCTTCGGGGCCCGTCGCAATCTTTTCCGAGCCATCTTTTCTGCGGCTTGCGGGCGACGACTGATGTCTCCCCAATCCGCTTTCTGATGCCCCGTTCAGGCTCTCACAAGGCTCGAGGATAGCAACGAGCTTTCCGAGGACGCCCTCGCCTTTCTGGACGCAGATCCGCTGTGGCTGTTCGGGACTGGAAGGGGAGGGTCGCTCCGCGGATTCGGAGAGGCAACTGCCAAACTGCACAGTTTGCGGAGGTGACGGGGGATGAGAGGGGCAGAGATGGTGGTTGAGGGGGGATGGCGGGGAGATGGGAACGGGAATGAGGAGGGCTCGCAAGAAGTGGTAGACTGCATACATTTTTCCCTCCCCCCGCTGCATCGTGAGCAATTGCTCTGCTCTCTCCCGTGGCAGCCTCGAAGGTTTCTTACGTTTGTATGGTGTCCCTCCTTTGGCTCAGCTTCGGTATTTCGAAGTCTGTGTGTTGATTGCTGCGCATGTCCGTATGGCGATTTCCACATCGGACCATCTTCGATATTGTGAAGGCCTTACGGCCGGTGCCGCCGACCCTGAAGGTTTTGGCCGTCGATGGCGACGGGATGTGTGATCACAGGAATCAACGTGACAGGGTAGGCGGAGGAAGTGTGCGAGGAGGAGGAGGAGGAAGCGATAAAGGAGGAAGAGACGGAGGAGGAAGGGGGAGGAGGAGGAGGTGGCATGCTGACCCGGGACCTCGTCGAGGACCCCCCCCCCGAGACCTCCCAAAGGATCCCCCCCGGGCTCTCTCTGGGACCCCCTCCCCGGTCGGGGAAGGGATCAAAGGGAAGGGGAAGCGCTTCGAGTCAATTTTTTTGTGCAGGGGAAAGAGATGAAGCTCTGGGGGGAAGAGGAAGAGGAGGAGGAGGAGGAGGAGGAGGAAGAGGAGGAGGGGGAGGGGGAGGGGGAGGAGGAGGAGGAGGAGGAGGAGGAGCAGGAGGAGTAGGAGGAGAAGGAGGAGGAGGAGGAGGAGGAGAAAGAGGAGGAGGAGGAGGGAGGTTGTGGCAGCAGCAGGATGAACGGATGCATTTTGGCCTTGAGCCAGAAAGCGTCAACCACAGTACATCCTTCCCTGAAACACTTACGAACTATCCTGGCCTCCCGTGAGCTGGAATGTTGGGCTTCACGGGAAAGAACATTATGCTAAACCTATATCGATAAAACAGGAGAGTCTCCACAAGGATGAGACTTTCTCCTAGGTTTAGCACCCCTAAACAGGATACAGCAGCTGTACATGCAAATCAGTGCTCAGGGAGAGGACTGAGGGAGGAGAGAGGAAGGAGAGCCCGGGTCTCCTGACTCCGAAACCGCTAGGCTGGACTGGAAATCGGCCCACGATATGAGCCTGGAGTCTTGATCCAACATCCTCCGTGATGCCGCCTGGGATCGGTCCTTGCCTCCTGGCTGGTCCCTCCGGCGGGATATCTCGCTAGCCTCGACTATCAAAACTAGCTTGCCTGTAGCAAGCAAATTGGATAAGGCCGCATTGCCCTTGCTGATGTCGTCCTTCGTGAGACAATCCACGGGCATACGGCCATGCGGGATCCATCGAACAAAACCTCGAGCCCCCTCCAGGGCCTGACACACAGCAGCTAGGTCGAGTGCCGTGCGACGGTCACGAGCGCTGGCATTCCCTCCCTTCAGCATCGTATCGTAGATACTCTTCGCATCCACTACATGAACGTGATCCTCCCGTCCGCCTAGTCGGCAGTCCCTACGGAGGACCGTCGTGAAAGGACCTGAACACCTGGACACATCTGACACATCCACATCTCCGAAAACCACGTCTCTATACAAAACCTGGAGAAACTCAACTTCCGCCACTGCCGCCGAGAGGGCCTGGGTCTCGCCGGCCAGAGTGGACGTGACTTTCCTTCTGAGCTTGGAACTCCGCCACCCCGGGGTAGACGCGCGAACAGCGCAGTTATCTATCACGCTCTTGTCGGTCGCCAAAACCATCCAAGCCCCCTGCGTCGGGTCGGCGGGGAGTCCCTGGTGGTCCAGAAGTCCCTCGTTGGCTCCTACACCTCCCGCATCCGAAAAAGAAACAAACGCCATTCGTTCCGGGTCCAGACGCCACATGATAAGGCCTCTCGAGGCCTTGGCACGGAGATGCCTCACCATCTTATTGCGAAGGCCTTACGGCCGGTGCCGCCGACCCTGTTCGCAATGCGCAGCAAGAGGCACGGGCTGTGGCGGCTCGGGCGGCTCGGGCGCGGCCCCGAAACAATAAAGAATCCTTACGTGCAGTACTTGCGGGGGGGGGGCGTCGTATCTGAGTGGCGCTCCCCCCCCGGGACCCCCCCCCGGGACCCCCCCGCTACCCCCCCCCCTCCCGGCGGGGGAGGGATCAAAGGGAAGGGGCTTCCCTTCGACTCAAATACGACGTTGCTGAAGTTCATTTGGGCTGGCGCGCTTGAGCAGGGGCCCCTGCTGGGAAAGAGGACGGGAGTGGCGACGGGCCCACGGAAAGGGAGGCGCAAGGAAAGGGGACGACAGAGACGACGACCAACGAACAACGGGGATGACGTCTCGAACGGAAAAGCCCCTCACACACGCCGACAGGGTCGGCGGATTCGCGATGGCCACGTCTCCCGTGGTAGCGTCCTTCAGCCTACTGGCAAGGATGCTCGCGGTGCCGGCGGCCTCCGGACGAGATTCACTACCGACCCAGTTCAATCCATAAATTAAAGACCGGAGGGCTTTGAACTCTGGTTGGGTAAGGGGAGAGGACTTTTGACCCAGCCGACCGCGTTCGAGGCTAATCGTCCTCACCTCTTCCAATATATATATATATATAGTTCTCCTGGTCGATCGTCGTCTTCTGAGGACCGAAAGTCACGCTGCGGCTGGCATACTCGACGGGGCCGCGGTGACAGTCCCGGTACTTCCCAAACTTAAACCTGGACACCAGGGTCTCCCGGATCCAGGCCCTAGATGTCTCCGAATTGCTGGCGATAAAGAAGTCGTCGACTTCAAGAAGGATCATGTTGAGAATGGTTCCGCCTGGAGCGTACCTGATCCACCAACAGGGCTCTAGGAGACTACGCGTGAACCCCTTTGTCTTGAGGTAGCCTACGATCGTTTTACGCCAGGCCAGGGGGGCGTCGTCTAATCCGTAGACGTTCACCAGCAATCTGATGAGAGACCCCTTTTCAACCTTAATGCCTTCGCATGGTTCCACGTAGATCTCTCCCTGAGCACGGCTCATAGGATCCGATTGGCAGAAGGCATTCTTCACGTCAGCAATGTCACCTAGGTGACCTAGATTCATCATTACCTGTATGAGCATGAGAATGGAGGAAGTCTGGGGAGTGGGAGAGTAGACAAACAGCGTTCCCGTGTCCGGGTCCCTGTGTCCGTGGACACACCACCGAGACTTGGCGGTTGGTTCGGAAAACGTGCCCTCCACAGGTTTCCACCTTCGAACTATCCGGCTCGTGATGATGCGATTTGGTTGCTCTCGCCTGATCACCCCAGCTTCTCTAGGTGCAATGATCTCAACCGCGCCTGAATTGGCCATATTCTGCCACTCGGTATCGTCTGACACTTCAAACCTGCTGCGCTCAGCGGGCGTCAGCTTGTTGAGACTGACCTCTCCTCCACGACTGGCCGCCAGAACCTCGAGATCGGCTTCATGCCGTTCTTCAACCAAGAACACACTCGCCTCCATGGTTTCGACCGCGAATGACACCCAGCCGTCAGGTCGGACCCTCGACTCGATCTCCTGGACCCTGCGCCCGACAAGGCCTGGCCCCCCGTCCTCGCCTCGCCCCTCGGCAGCAGCAGCAGCAGCACTGGCGCTCGGCCCCTCGCTCACCGGGGAGGAGTTGCCGGGGAGCTCCCGTCCGGGAGGGGGCTTTATCCTCGCACGCTTGGCTTCGACTGTCTCGGGAGGACAGCTCGCCGCTCGAGTCTCGGCCTGACGCTGACGAATGCAAGCAGGCACGTCACTGGGCTGAGGCAGCCTAGATCTCCCCGGCCTGCTGGCTCCACCAGAGGCGGCCTCGGCGACCGTGGGAACGGGCACGGGGTTAGAGGGGAGGAGAGGAGGAAGCGGAAGAGGAGGAGAGGAGGAAAGAGGGGGAGCAGGTTCAACCGTGTCCTCATCCTCTGGAGTGTCCTGCCTCGTGGGTGGCCCACCCCCTCCCTGGCCATCTCCCTCGGAGATTGACGGGAGTCGGGTTCGTTCTGATCCGGCTCGGGCGACCGCGGAACCTCTGGCCGACGACGGCCGGGATCCGACTCCCCTTGGAGGCCTGGGCCCGATCGGATCGAACCCTCGGTGAACCAGAGCAGGCCCGGGAGGCCTCGCGTTCGGAACTTCTCGAGGCGCATCCGGCCGTGGCTCTGGCTCGGGTCCCCGGGGCACCTGAGGCGCTGAGTCCACCTCTGGAGACAGCGGCTGGTCCCAGGCTTCGTCGGGAGGCGGGCCTTCTCGCTGGACGTCCACCGCCGTCTCTCTCCTGGCCTGGGTCTGGGAGAGAAATTCAGACCACCGGGGATCCTGGGCGACCTGGATGCCGTATTCTTCTTCGGCACTGGCCAAGCGAACCTGCTCTGGAGAGCATTTCCAGAGGCGCGCCCGCACCGCGACCCACACAGTGCCGCGTTCGCGCAGGACCACGACCCCGGGGCCCGTCCACGCGTCCCGCCTGCGACCTAGGGTGTCGGCCCTCGGACCGGCCTTGGTCATGCGTCGCCAGACGAAAACCCACTGGCCTGGGCGGAACATCGCCTGGTCCTGGCTGGGTCCCCTCGCCTTGGTAGCCTTGGCCACCTTGTCCCGGGCTGTGATCTCGAGGGCCAGGCGGCGCGCCAACTCCCTAACACGCTGCGATCTGGCGAACTCTGCGCCCGCGGAGTCGAGCTCCGAGGCCGGTCGTATAGAGTCCTGCCAGCCAGGAAGGCCCATGTGATCATCTGACAGTATTTCGTGTGGCATTCGGGGTTTCTCGCCAAAGACGAGCTGAACTGGAGAAAACCCGCCCCAGTGCCAGAAACGGTTTTTGTGGGCACACAACTCGTAGACAAGCTCTTCGAGCTCCTCTACGTCCCCGGGAATGGCAGAACCGGCTTCCACCTCGCCTTTGATCCTATCTTTGATCCAGCCTCCGTGTCTCTCGACACGTCCGTTCTGCCACGGGGAGTTCGCATCGCACACGTGGTGAAGGACGCCCCACTGTTCGAGCCCTCGGGCAAACCGACCTTCGAACTCGGGGCCCCCGTCCGACAACACGAAATGAGGGGCTCCAAACGGGCGGACCCACGCCTTCACGAAAGCCCCCCAAACCTGAGCCGCCGTGGGCTCTTCCACTCGAACGTAGACCTGCAGGTTAGACCCGTGGTCCACAACGTTCAGAAACGCAAGGGTCCTCTCTTGGAACGGAACATAGAAAAGGTCGACGCCCACTATGTGATTGAACCTGAACGTCCTAGGAAGGGCCACCCTGCGGTGACGGCTGGTACGAGCCCGCTCGGCACACTCCGAGCACTTGAACACGTCCCTGATCCAGCGAAGCAGGTGTATCTTCACGCCTCCCGCCCTGAGGACTCGCACGAACTTCCGGTTGCATGGGTGGCCCATGTTCACGTGTAAACGGAACAGCAGACGCTTTTCTTCTTCTGTCGGCTCGGGAGGGGGTTCCTTTGGCCTGGAGGCTCCCGGGCCCCGCGTCTCGTGCTCGTCCGCTTCGCTTCCGCTGGCTTCCTCGGGACCTTCCAGATCTTCGATGGGGGGATCCGCGTCTTCGGGAAAGTGGCTCTCGCCGAGCTCGGCCCACGTGGGAGACCTTGACCTGCTGACGCCGCTCCACTGCTCGGTCACGGCACGAGCCACGGCCTCGGCGAACGCTGGCGGATACTCCTGGGCCTGGGAGGTCCTACTCCGTCCCTCCAGGAGCACATGCTTGTGATCTCCGGAACACAGCCTACCGTCCATGATCTCTGAGAGCCTAGGGTGGTTGGTGAGCAGTCCGGTGGGCTTCTTGTTGAGGCCATCTTCCGTGACTCGGAGCCCGAACATGCACATCTCGATCCGAACCCGGCGAACGCCTGGAAGCTGAGCGACCAGCTGTACTACCTTAGTCGCCCAAGAACTCGCAAACAGAGGGTGTTCAAAAGCAAAATACCGCCCTCGCTCCGACTGATACAGGGCTATGCGCATGCAAAGGATTAAATCATTAACCCCGTCGGTGACGGCTTGCTTCCACTTAAACGGATCTCGGACGGCCCTGCTGATTCGATTGATGGCCGAGAAAACCCTACATGGTGGGCACAGCCAGATCATGTCCGGCCTCTCCTTCTCTATGGCAGCCCAGAGATCTAGCTGGTCGTTCGCTCTCCTAGAATCCCACCCAGTCTTCAGATCCCAACTAGGCCTGGCCCCCAGAGTGCCCCCACGGCGTTGCACCCGAGGCGCGATCCTAGGAGGCGAGAACACTTCCATAAAGCTGACTCCCTTGTCCCTTGAGACAAACAGCTCCGTGATTGGGTCCTCCTGGGATCCGTCCGGCCTGGCCCTGAGTTCGAGAGCTCGCCGGACCTGCCTAGGCAGAGCGACCTCGTGGTCGTCGTTGAAATTGTCCCCGTCCTGCCACTCGATTCCCTCAAAATCGCCCTTCAAGCTGCGTCCCTCCACTGACGACTGGGATCCGACAACCGAAGCAAACACGGGAAACATCGGAGTCGAGTGGCCATCTCTGACTTGACTGGGTTCTGGAGATGATGATGATCCCTTTTGCGCTGCACAGTTGCAGCCAACAGAAGCTGCTCGGCCACACTGAGTGGCGGCGGCCCGAATCATGTAGGAGCCCGCTAGACCACGGGCCCTGGGTCGCTCCCGAGCACCTCCCAGGAGTCGAGGCTCGCCTCTGGGATGGTCGGCAGCGGAGGACGCGTCGTGGTCGTAGGCGTTGCGCCCGGCATGGTCGGCGTTGTAGTGGTCCTCGTTCCGTACGGGTCGGTAACTGTCCAAGGATCCCCGTTCGCAACTGTCGCCTGGTCGTCGATCGGTGGCGGATAGGACGGCGGAGGAGGGCTGGCTGCCCCAGACGAGGATGCCGCTGCCGAGCCTGTTGCACCGATGGCCGCCGTCGGGGCCTGGGGAAAGGGAGCGGCTGCCATCGCCGCTGCAGCTGCCTGCTGAGGAACGTGCCACTGATCCTCGACCTGCTGACCTCCGTTGGCCACATGTGCTATGGCCGCCACTGCCGTGCCCACGTTCACGAGCATGAGCCCGATCTGGCCGATCGCCGTCTCCATCCCGGAGAGGGTGCCCGCAATGGCGTTGACTGACTCCTGGAGCGTGTCGATAGCTATCGCGAAGTCCGCCATCCCGGTGAGCTGCGTCTTGATGGCGGTGATGCCCTGGAAGATCTGCTGGAGCCCCTCCTCCATCTGTGTGGGGAACTGCTGCGTCTGCGTCGCGACCTGGATCATCTGGTCCACCACCGACTGTACCTGGCCCAGCGCTCGAACTCCTTCTGGAATCGCCTGGAGCTGCCACTGGAGACCCTGGAGCAGACCGTGTAGCTGATTCACCGTCGTCAGCGCCGCGCCACCTGCCTTGAACTGCGGGTCGCTGGTCAAGAGGTCCACCGCTCTCTGAGCTGATGACGCCGCCGCCCGAGCGGCCTCGGCCGCCGTAGGCGCTGCCAGAGCACCTCCTTGGCCAGCGCGGCCTCCGGGGATCCATGCAATGCGCGCTCCGCAGAGAGTGCACCTCGATCCCGAGCCGTGCTGATTCCCGTAGTACTTGATCGCCGAGGCCGGGTGGCTGCAGTGGGGCGGGGCCTTGGGAGGTGGCTTCCCCGCAGCAAGCTCGAACAGCACTCCTGGCGTCGGCGCTGTCGCTCCGCCTCCGACCGCCGTGGCAGCCGCCGTCCCGTCCGCTGCTGCTGCCGCGGCCGCGAGGGGAGGCCCTGGTGGCAGAGGTGGCTGGCCGCGATGCTCGGCACCCGCCTGAGCCAAGGCATACAGCGCCTGATGCATCGTCGGCTGGTTGGTCCCCTCGATCGGTGGAGCTGGTGGCCACTGGGACGCCTCTGCCGCCGCTCCCCACAGTGCTGGCTGTGGCTTCGGTGCGGGTCGGTGCTGCTGAGGGAGTGGGGGAGGCGCCGTTGTCGCCGCATGACTCGTCGTAGCCTGGGCTGGTCCGAGGCTCATCGGGGTCGGCAGCCCACGCAGTGCTTCGAGCGCCTGGCGCTGCTGGTCGTCCGAGGCGCTGCTGGCCCCGTGTGGTTGCTGGGGCATGGGCACGTCGCTGCCCGCCGCCGCCGTCGCCTCGCTGTGTGTCATCGAGCTGGCTGCTCCGGCCGAAGGCTCGAACACCTCTGAGGACACCTCGGAGTCCTCCTCTCGCTCGGCGTGACGCTGCGCCAGCAACTCCTCGGTAAGCTGCTTGGCTACGGGCTCCTTCTTCTTGCCTTCGACGACCGGGTGCACCCCGAGAGCCAGCGCCATCGCCACGCGAAACATGAACATGGATGGAATCGCCCAGGATGTGACTCCGAAGGTGATCGAGATTGAAAGCTCGGAATTGCCGAAACGAGCTCGAGCCTAAACTAGCCAAGGAAATCACCAGGACAATCTGAACCCATATGGTTATCACCGAGAAACCAAGAGCCCCGAGGTCATAAAGGGCTCTGCCCATTGATCTGAGGTCGAGGGCTCTGGTCGTCTCGCTGGCCTGGCTCTGGTTGTACTTCTCATCCTTAGCTTCTCCGCGGGATCCCGAGGCCCGGACCGTTCCTAGGCCGCTCCACTGAGCTCGTGGCTGGTGCTGGTCGCTAAACTCGAGCTCGATCGATAATTGTCGTCCCCAGGCTCGACCCCGCAGTACGGCTCGACCCAGGCTCCCAAGGCTCGCGTCCAGAGGTGACTGGCGTTGAAAGTAATGCCCCGCCCAACATCCACGAAGTTTTTAGTGGCAAGCCGCTGCTTTGCACCAGGATTCCATGGGGGTTTGCTTGCTTGCTTGCTCCTCCGTCTCGTCATACGCCTCCTCCTCCGCCTCCTCTGCCCTCCCCAATTTGTTTCAGCCTGCCCCCCCGGCGTCGTCGATTGTACAGTACGCAGTGGGTCAAGTTCCGTAGATTGGGGGATCAAAGCTTTCTATTGAAGGGCACCCCATTCGGCGAAAAGAAAAAGATCCAACGCCATGGGAAGTGATGCTTTGGAGGCCTGGGATGTCAGTTGTGGCACGAACACGCCCAGCTTGCATCCTCCATTATCCTCTCTCTCCTTCCGTTTCGATACCTCTGTCCTCCCTCCACTCCCCCAGTGCTGCGTGCCCCTCCTCTTCCCCAGTGCTTCCCTTATCGTCGTCCTCCCTCATTGTCAGCCTCCCGCTCCTCTTCCCCCTCCCGCCCTCAGTCCTTCAGCCCTGGCCGGCCGGACGGGCAGGATCGCGGACACCGCCACGCAGCGCACGCTAGAGAAGACGGCGGTGGTCCCAATGCTCCGGTGCATGGGGCAAAGGCGCGCAGCTCGGCTGGGCGGGGGGCAGGCGAGAGCGCTTCCGCGACCGGCTCGGGGATCAGCGACGGGGGAGGGCAGGGGGAGGAGGGGGAGAAGGGCCCAGCAGGGGGAGGTGGAAGAGGTGCAGGAAGGAGAGCGAGGGGAGAACGGGGGAGAAGGCAGAGGGGGACAAAGGAGCGGATGGGCATGGGGGAAGATCGAGATGAGACGGGAAAATGCATCAAGGCTCGTGTATTCGCCACAGTTCCCGTTTCCATACAACATCGGCGCGCTTCGTCGCCAGATCAGGCGGCTCTGGCCGCATGTTTCGGGCGGCGCCTTGCTGCCTTGCCCGATCCATGCACCTGGCTGCCACGCTCCAGAACCACGGATCCCTAATCCACGTTAGCGTGTGCCGGAGAGGACCAGGAGGAGGAGGAGGAGGAGGAGGAGGAGGAGGAGGAGGAGGAGGAGGAGGAGGAGGAGGAGGAGGAGGAGGAGGAGGAGGAGGAGGAGGAGGAGGAGGAGGAGGCGCGGGGCGCGGAGAAGGAAGGGGAGGCAACATGGAAGGAAGGCGAGGAGGAGGAGGAGGAGGAGGAGGAGGAGGAGAAGGAGGAGGAGAAAGAGGAAGAGGAGGAGGAGGAGGAGGAAGAGGAGGAGGATGAGGAGGAGGTTCGGGAAGAGAGGGAAGGCCGGGAAAGCACCAGGCGGGGGCGCGAACATGTTCTCTCAAGAGGGTGGGCCTTGGCACGGCATCATCGGTCGTGCCTGCAGCCGTGCCGCGCGCGTGCGCGACCGCGGCGGCTCCACGGCCTGCCGAACGCGCAGGAACTGGCACGCGAGGGCGCCCGCGGATCCGCGGGTGAAGCTCCCCGTGGTGCACGCTCCGTGCGAGAGGGTCGTCGCGAAACGGTACCCTCCAGAAGGAGGCTCACCTTCAGCGCAGGCTCGCCTGCGGCGGAAGCCCCTGGAGGGCGGCGGGAGTAAACAGTTGCGGCTCCGCCGGCGGAAGCTGGCGGAAGGCGGGGTAAGCCAGGGGCAATGAGGGGGAGGAGGGAGGGACAGTCATAGGGGGGATGCATCGACCCCCAAGCGCCCATTGATCGCCGATAGGATAGCCCCACCGAGCCCATGAACGTGGGGACCCGCTATCGAGGGCATATCGCCGATCTATCGGCGATGCATCGCCGATTCCAAGTCGGTGTTGCCCCCCCCCTGTGCCAGCTCTCCACCGATCGTTGCCCCCCAGTAAGTAAAAGCGAGACGCCAACATTTTTGAACCAAGGGTCTCCAGAGTCGTTCAAAAGGGCTGGAGGGCCGCAGGCGAGTTTCCTTGCGGGGCACGGTCCATGGAAGAGGTGTGTTGATGCGACGTGGGCTTGTGGGCGACAGGATCAGCAACGGCTGCCAGCGGCGGCAATCGCAACGGCAGGGCAGGGCAGCAGCAGGACCATCATTACGGGGGAGGAGACAGGCGACGGAGGAGGAGGAGTGGGAGACGCACGTCGCAGGGGAGAGAAACCGAGGGCGCAGCAACACAGGAGTGCTTGGAAGCGATTACTCGTGGGGTGCCCTGGGGAATGGGAAAGTTTCCTGGGGAATGGGGTCGAGATCTTTGGCGATTCACGTCGCGAAAGATGTTTTGTCATCGGAGGTTTGGGCCTACCTTTCTTCTTGTACCCCCTCCCCTCCCCCGGTGTATCCCACCACTTTCCCAGAAAGCTCGCCTCATCCGCTCCCTGCGCGCACGGCGCAAAACGTGACGCAGCGGTATCAAAGCCGCGTAACGACGTCACGCTTACACAGAGCACACTGCCAGTCGAGACTTCGTCTCACCTTCTCCAGGTCGCCCTCTCCCTCCCGCCCTCCTCAAGCGCACTTCGCCATGAAGGAAAAGGGGTCCTCATGGAAATGGGTCCCAGGCCCCAGGGCTTTCCGAAGGACCAGCCCTTCATCCCGTGGTAGTGCTGATGCTGGTGCTGCTGCTGGCGCCCATGGTAGTGCTGCTGCTGGTGCTCCTCCTCTCTCGCCGCGGCGTCGGCCGTCCACCGTCCGCCCCCGCGCCCGCGCGGGGCCCCGCGCGCGGAGACCAGGCCAGCGCGTGGGCAGGCCCCCCGGGACGCCACCGGGGGGCGAGAGGCAGGGGGAGGCCAACGTCCATGTGGTTTCAAACCTTAGGCCGTATAGGCCCACGGAGGAGCGGGAAGAGGAAGGGGAATCGCGGCGGGGCCTCCCAGATGGGGTCGGAGTGGATGGGGTCGGAGGATCGCGCCGTATCGCCGATGCATCGGCGATGCGGCTCGATGTGGAGCTCGATGTTCTCTGCGCTGGCTTTGCCGATACACCGCCGACGTCGCCGATGCATCGCCGATGTATTGGCGATGCGGCGCGATCCTCCGACCCCATCTACTTTGACCCCATTCAGGAGGCCTCTAGAAGCGGCGGGGCCGCTCAGTTGTAGGAGCGGTCTGTGCCGAGGACAGCGCACCTTGCGCGTAGCGCAATGAGTGCATGCCGTACCTTGTCCGTAAAGCTAAAGACGTCGTACGTTCTTCCAGGTCTTTGGTAGCATATGTCAGAATTGTAGTACCGATTGTTCTGGCAGTTTGTATGCCCTCATAGTCATCCTCATCAGTACCACCTCCCGCCTTCATGGGATGTCCGTACTGGATCGTATGTAAGGTACGCTTGTTGTGGTTCCCTGACGGGGGTGATAGGCCGTAGTTGATGTAGGAGTCATGTGTGATCTGGCTGCCTTGGGAGTCCACCAAGTCTACGTAGTTTTCGGCACGCTTGCAACAGTAGGCGGGTAGTAGTGGTCTGGTCCAGCTTATTGTAATTTTAGCTTATGTAATCTGTCTTCATGCGCGTGTAATGAAATGGTTCCATATCGTATTATTGCCCGTACAGTTTCGCAGCGATTGCCTCTTTGAGCGTTCCAATAGAAACTAGATGTGTCGCTGTCGCCCTCGAGCGGAACGTAGACCTCCTTCCTTGGGACCCATGGAAAATAGTAATTCCCCAATCAGCGTTTACACCGCAGGGGTCCTAGCGGATATTGAAAGATGTGGCGAAAGTTCGCCGCCGATTTCGGTAGGCGGCCGGGTTCCCGGGTTCCCGGTTCTGGGTTCTGGGTTCTTGTCTCTGGGTTCCAGATTGGTCTCGGTGGACGGTTGGATTCCCGGTTTTGGGTTTCAGGTTCCCGTTTCCCGGTTCCAGAGTGGTCTCGGTGGGCGGTTGGGTTCTCAGGTTCTTTGTTTGTGGAGGCAGTTTTCGCCATATTATACATGCAGATATACATATATACATATTCCCTTGTCTGTATTTTTGCGATCCGGGGGGTTGGAAATCTCCCCCCCGTGCCAGACCTTCTGGAATCCCTGGCTTCTGGGGCTCCTGGACGCCCCTGCCGAGGGTCCCATGAGACCTCTGAGCTTCTGGGAGTCCCTGCCAAGTCGTGCAAACGAGCCGGCGGTAGCCCCAAGAGGGTCCAACATGGCCTCCTGATTGCCCAAGAAACCTTCCAATCGCCTCAAGTTGGCCTCCAAATCCAAAACCTGCGAGTTTCGTACAGGTTTTTGCATTAGTTTGGCATTCTCGTTTTTTCGTGCTACAGACGCCCCACGAAGGCTCAAAGGCCCCCAACATCGCCCCAGGACAACCCGTGACGGACGGGCGAGGATGCCCCCACGATCCCCGAAGAAGGCCCCAAGACGGACCGTCAGACCGCCACCAGGCGCGAGCCCTCCGGCCCTAAAAGACCCACGAAATTGCCAACAGGCGCCCAAACGCCCCAACCAGGGTTCACGAGGTCCCCAATAAGACCGAAGATAAACCAAAGGGGGCTCCAAGTTACCTCCCAAACCAGCAACATTGTTTCCGCGACGACCCTGAGACGCCTCTCCACAGACCCAAACACCTCGAAGAGGCCTTTGACGTACGACCCCGCATTGGCGCCCTCATCCAGCACTGCCACTAAATATGTCCGAATCCCAGTTTCACGGCGTTCCCTCTAGGCATGTGGGCAGGAGGAGGAGGAAGGTGAGGATGGGGATGGTGATGATGATGCTGATGATGATGATGATGATAATGATGATGATGATAATGATCATGATGATGGTCATGATCATGATGATGATGGTGATGAGGACGATGATGATGATGATGATGATGATGATGATGATGATGATGATGATGATGATGATGATGATGACGATGGTGATGATGATGAGGAGGAGGAGGAGAAGGAGGAGAAGAAGGAGGAGGAAGAGGAGGAGTGGGAGGAGGAGGTGGTGGGGCTTGCGCCGCTGATAAGGTGAGGCCTCGAGGAGGATGAGTAGGAGGAGGAGGAGGAGGAGGAGGAGGGAGTAGGAGGATCGGGCAGTGCCAAGGGGGATCACCACTAGGGGCGGTCACCACTTCCTTCGTGGACCTCAGACCGAAGAAGGGGAAGAGGACACATTAGGGAAGGAAAACGAATGGCATTCGTATGAGGACGATATCGGACAAGACAACTATGAATTACCGCCATGTTGCATGTTTTACCTTCCTGCCCCTCCGCCGCGACTTCCGCCTGCATGCCAAACCTCACGGACCAAGGCGCGTGGCGCGAAGCGCCAACGCAGTCTTGTGTATATGTATATATATATATATGCATATATAAGTGTATATACACATACGCGTATATAGAGAGGGATTGGTACGGAATGGATATGTTTATTTTTCCATGTACATATAAATATGTGCGCACGGCGCTCCCACACGTATCATACATATTACATATATATGTATAGATATCAACCCATCCACTGGTTAGGTAGCTTCTTTTGTATAATTGAACCTGCTTGCCAGGCCGTATGGCTGACTCTCCACCAGTGTTTGGTTTCTCGTGACATGCCAATAGCCATTTTGCAGGGCTTGTGGCCGATATTGTCCAGAATGGTCCGTCGGGGCGGACGTCAACTGTAACTTTGTAGGCTTCGTTCGATCACCTGGCATTGTATACCTTGATGCGTTTCTTGTTCAGATCCTTGAAGTGGTGGCGTCTTGATGTTCCGGAACATGAATACTATATGTTGTTTTCTCTGTGGTTACCTTTGTAAACAGTTGTATCCATCTGTTCTTGTACGGGAGGTCACGAAGCCAGATACTTGCCCCAGCTAGTAGGCACTCTCTTGGATTATCGCCGATGGGCTAGTAATTCGCGCCAGCAATGCTGTTATGTAATTGCATGTACGTGGGAGTTTTTAATCGATATCTTGAAGGGGGCCGTTTGCGCTCGCACTTGTGAACAGGATCACGTTCGATGGTGACCATGCAAGGCAATGTACATTGGCGCGTAAGTGGATAGCAGGGCTGAAGCGATGATGACACGCACGGGTTGTCTTGTTGTATCAAGTACGGGTATATGTAGTGAACGTAATACCTTACGATACCCAGGTCGTGATGGATGAGGAGGGGATGGGATGATGACGAGGAAGTAGTTTTTGCTGTGGTAAAGTCGGAGAAGTAGTACTCGCCCCCGCTGTAGTGCAGCGGCTCACCGAGGTCCCCCGCTTGGGCTTGCCCAGGTGTGTGGCCTCGTCGTTGTTCCCGTCCTTCATGTAGTTGCCGATAGCGACGCCGCCGTTGTCGTAGTCCTTGCTTTGGTCGTCGTCATGATAGGGCAGTGCGTCGCCGTGTCGTAGTTGACGTCCTTGCCCTCGAGCACATGGGAACACCAGTCCTTGACGTGGGTGACGTGGTCCTGGATGTTCGCATCCATGAAACGCACGAGCTTGAATGTGTCGTTGTTGTAGTCGTCCCCCCCACTTGTACTCCTCGATGTTGCTGCCAAGCTCGTCGCGGAGGCGAATGTAGTCGTGGATCTCGTCCTCCTCTTTGGCCTTGAACGGCATGTGGTGCAGGTTGGCCGCAGTAGGTACCATGTCAGACTGCGCGCAGCAGTTGTACAAAACAATATTGTTCAGGCATCTCGTCTCGTAGTCGCACTTCTACTTGATGGGCTTGGCTTGCAAGCGGTGCTTGAGTAAGCTCACGTCCATCTTGTCCGTGGTGGGTATTTCGACGTGCTCGACGTCGCCCGTGGGCTCGCAGTGGAGCTTGACGTTGGCCACCTTCGGGTAGTCCCCCGCGGTCATGTAGATCTACCAGCTGAGCGGGACGGGGAGTTTGGGGCTGAGTGTTACCAATTCGTTCGCCTCGTCATGTACTGAGCCCACCCGACGATCTATGGTGCGGGCATTCGCAATGTAGTCGCCCGAGGTCTTGTAGAGTCTGAGTAATTTATGCTGGTGCCTCTTGCCGAAGTGTGTGACGTCACTGCTGATGTCGGAGATCTTGAAGCAGGTCAGGTCCCTGTTGTTGTGTTGGTCGTATTGCTGCGAGTGTACTTCGAGCAGGACCTGGAGCCACCTGTTAACGTAGTCCATGGGCGCGTTCTCCGTGGGGAACTGGGTCGTAGCGTCAGCGTCGTAAATACCAGCCTCCGTGTAGTCCCGTGATGCCGTTGTTTACCTCCGCGGTGTAGTATTTCATGGTCGTTGCCATGAGGTCTGCGCGCGTTACCTGAACAGTAGTTGTATCTTGCCATGTCTGGGGCCTGCTGGGCCAAGAGCGGCAACGGAACATGCAATTCTATTCGTACGTGCCCACAGTGATGCGTTCTGACTGTCCCGTGGTATCCCTTGGTAATGGGATGCAGGTGTAGAGTAGATGGGTGGGGTAGGCAGGAGATGTCGGTGATGTCCTGCGGTTAACGCTGCCCTGGTGGGTTGCGCAGTAGCCGCGGTGGCTTGCCTCCACGTGGATGACGCAGTAGACGAGGATGTCCATCCGGTGGTGGATGTTGTTGTAGACTTCGGGGGTCCTCGTCTGGTCGTTGATCCGGTTCAGGATGTACGCGCGCCGCCGATGGCGGAGGGCGTCCTTAGGCCAGCCCCTCCCACTGGGTCCAGGCGCGGCGGCGCGGGCGCCCGGGGCCAGAACGGCTTTTGGTGTTCCTCCTCCTCCCCCTCCTCCGTCTCCTCTTCCTGCATATGGGGGAGGGGGGCGAGGAGGAGGAGGAGGAGGAGGAGGAGGATGGGAGGTTCTTAGTGGCTTCTACGGGTCTCCATTGCCGCGTAGTAAAACCAAGGTTGGGTGGTGGGTTCTGCGGGGCCCTTCCATCCCTACTACTCTAACCCCTCTTCGACCCGCTGGGCGTACGTCGGCCCATGGACCATCACCCCTCCTCATCCGCATCCCCCTCATCCCCCTTTCCCCGCCTGCTGCTGGTCCTCCTCCTCTTGCTTGTCCTCCTGCCCGTCCACATCCTCATCCTCCTGATCTGTCTTGCGCAAGCATTAGGCATGGGTCCATTGTGTCTGATCCTCTCTCCTACCCTCCTCTCTCCTTCTCACCCTCTTCTCCTCCTCACTCGCATCCTCCTCCTCCTTCTTCATCCTGCTCTTCTTGCTCCTCTCCTCCTCATCCATATCCTCGACTCCTCTTCATCCACATCCTCCTCCTCCTCCTCATCCTCCTCATCCTCCCCTCGGCAGTTGCCTCGGTGATGCTTCGCCTCCCGCCCTCGCGGCGCAGTGCTTGCAGTAAGACCTGGAGGGGAGGGTGGATCACTGAGTCGAGGATGCGTAACCCATATCGTGGTTGCATCTGGGGATGTCCTGGGGCTGGGACTCGCTGAAACATTATTTTTGCCACTGCTGCCACATGTATATGCTCGCTCGCAGGCAGCTGAATTCCGACCTCCTCGCGCACCCCTTTTTGACCCCTCCTGGCTCTGGGACTGATCCACCCTGAACCCGACACCTTTAAGTTTATTGCCTTTCATTTTCAGCTGTATCGGCTGGCTCACCAGGAGAGTAAGAACCGCCATCTCCCTTTTAACGATAATGACGCTCGTTCGCTCGCTCGGGCTGGCCTTCAAGCGGTCGAAATGCCCCTCGGCGGGCAGCGCTGCAGGCTGCCCCGCCCATTGAGGCGGTAGTTCGGGAAGACTCGCGGTTCCCCCAGACGCTCCAACCTCCTCATCCTCCCCTCCCCCCCTCCTCCTCCTCCTCCTCCTCCTCCTCCTCCCCCTCCTCCTCCTGTCCTCCTCCTCCTCCTCCTCCTCCTCCTCCTCCTCCTCCTCCTCCTCCTCCTCTCAGAGGTACAATTACCCCACTATTGCTCTAAACAAGTTGCGGGTGGAAGAAGAAACACGATGTCCGCCTGGGCCCGCGTCGGAGGAGCGGAAGAAATGCGAGCGCAATGGCGCGCGCGGTCGCGCGCGCAACCCACCGCTGGTAATAACGCGAATGCGCGGGCGTCGCGGCGACGACGACGGCGACGGCGACGACGACTGCGGCCTCTGCGCCGACGGTGACCACGACGGCGGCAACGGCGACGGCGTCGACGAAGAATATCGCGGCCACGGTGGCGACAGGGCCCGGACCCACGGGCGAACGTGCGCCCCGCCCTCGTTCGTGGAGTCCCGCGCCAGATAATGTGGGAGTGGCGAGGTTTCCGTACGCAGTTTGACCCCAGCCGTCTCCCCGATGTTCTAAAGTTCTCGCTTTAGTCAAGCCGCTTCTTCGCTTTAGTAAAGCCGTTTCCTCTCTTTGGTAAAGCCGCTTCCCCGCTTGCGTAAAGCCGCTTCCTCGCTTTAGTAAAGTCCGCGGTCTGCCTTAGGAAAACCCTGGGGATGCGGGGCCAGGGCCTGGTCGGGGAACGGGGGGGCCCTGTCTCCCCTGCCAGTTCACCCCGCGATGCACTTGCTCGAATAATCAGGGTCGCGTCACATCGGGTCGCGGCGATCCTTGGACGTATTGGGCTGGCCTCCGGCCAGTGCCGCCGATCGGGGGGGGTGAGACTGGGGGACGTCTCGGAGGTTTCTGGAATTGTCTTCGGGGCATCTTGGGCGGTTCGAGCGATGTTTCGGCGATTCGGGGCCCTCTTGCATTGTCTAGGGGGCCTCTGGGGCCTCTCCTGGTTTCCTCTTAGGCTGTCTTGGGCGGTCGGGGCTCCGGAAGTGGAGTTTTCTATACCCCCTGTCCCCGGGTACCGAAAAACATCGGAAAATGACGTCGGAAATATCCGCGTGAACCCAAAAACGTCGGAAATGACGTCGGAAATCACGTGCCCCCCCCCCGCGGAGCGAAGCTTGAGCGAGCTCAAGTCCACGCTCTCAGAAACTCACACGGCGGACCGGCGGATTTTCAGCGGGTTGTATGTCGATGTTCCTTGGCAGGAGATTCAGGGCGCGAGCGCAGGACGTGGTTCGGCAATTCGGACGCGCCGCCGCGGCTGTCGCGTAACAGAGCAACAGCCCTCTACTAAAAGGATTGTTCCCTTGAACAAAGAGTGTCTTCTAAATAATAGTGTAAATTTTCCGCTTCCAAGGTCCTCCTCCTCCTTCTCCTCCTCCTCCTCTATCCTCATACTGCTCTTGGTCCCGTTCCAAGGCCCTGCCTGGAGGAGTGGTACGCCTACCTCAACGCCGACGAGGAGGCCGTCCGGGAACACTCCCGTTTTGGGCCGCCCCCCATTTCAGGGGACCGTGCAGTCCGCCGAGCGGAGGGGGGCGCAAGGGAGGAGAGGGAGGGGAAAAGAGAGAACTGCATGTCTCCAGGGGGAGTCGATTTCGATACACACAACATAGTTCCCAACCATCCCGTGGTGTGGGGTCCTCGTTTTGAATCAGCAGCGCCCCTCGTCTCCTTCCTTCCCGGTGCCCCTCCTTCCTCCTCTCGTCCCCACATCCTCGTGTCCATGTCGGCAAACCCTCATTGTTTCGTGGCCCCATATGGAGCTCCACCGAAGCCCCCAGGGGGCTAGGCCACATAGCGTCCCCTAGCCCATGTCGGCACACCTCTCACACGTTTCGTGGCCCCTCAGGGAGGTCCACCGAGATTCCCCAAGGGGCTAGACCACATAGCGTACCCCAGCCCATTTCGGCACACCTCTCACACGCTTCGTGGCTCTATAGGGATCTCCACCTATCTCTCCGGTGAGGGCACGTGTATGGCGGCTGTGACGGTTCCACCTGACCACCAACAAGCCTATCGCATGAGAAAAAGTGCATCTCCAAAAGGGGGAGGGGAGGATAGGGAAAGGGGAGGCGGGGGGAGGGGAGGGGAGGGGCGGGGGAAGGGGGATGGATAGAGAAGGATTGGACTTGACGTTTCGAAAAGGGATAAGGACAGGGAAGGAGAGGAGAGGGAAGGAGAAGGTGAGGGGCAATCTGATCTTGACGCTTTGGAGTGTTTCTGGGTCCCCTCGGGGGGGGGGGGCGAGGGGGGCGCGCCGAAGGCCCGTCGACACGGCCCGACTCGCCTCGGAGAGCTTGGTCGCAGCCTGCTCTGGAGGAGGTCCCGGGATGGATTGGGAGGGATGGAAACCGGGCCTCCCAAATGGGGTCGGAGGACCGCGCCGCATCGCCAATGTATCGACGATGAGGCACGATGTGGAGCCCGATCTTCTCCGTCCCACCGGCGCCGATACATCGGCGATGCGCTGCGATCCTCCGCCCCCATCTACTCCAGCCCCCGCGCGCATCTCTTCCCATGCGCTGCGATTTGATTGGACCTTATGCGATCAGGAGGCCTCTAAGGAGAGAGTGGAGGCGAGATGGAGGGCGCGAGCGTAAACTGAGAGAAAGCATCAGGAGGAGCCACACAACAACTACATGTTTTTTCCCCATATCCTAAGATGGGGTTCTTGTTATTCCCCATATCCTAAGATGGGGTTCTTGTTATTACTTGGACGCCTCCTACTCCTCCTTCTCCTCCCTCCTCCTCTTTTTCCCCATATCCTAAGATGGGATTATTGTTATTCCCCATATCCTAAGATGGGGTTCTTGTTATTACTTGGACGCCTCCTACTCCTCCTTCTCCCTCCTCCTCTTTTCTCCTCCCCTCCTGTCGGACTTACTTATATTCACACTTGCTCATACTCAGACTTACTCATACAGAGACTTACTCATACTCAGATTTACTCATACTCAGACCTACTCATACTCAGACTTACTCACACTCAGACATACTCATACACAGACTTACTCATACTCAGACTTACTCAGACCCAGACGTACTCATACACAGACTCACTCATACACAGTATTAGTCATACTCAGACTTACTCAGCACACAGCATATTGTGAGGATGTCTCAGGCGGGGCGCTGGTTTCAGCACCCCTAAGGGGAGCCGCCAGGGGTGGTTGCACGGGCTCGTTCGCGGCCATTTTGTGGGGATGTCTCAGGCGGTTTGCTTGTTTCTGGGCCCAACATCCTTCGCTTGGAGAGCAGATTGTGAGGATGTCTCAGGCGGGGCGCTGGTTTCAGCACCCCTAACGTTCGCGGCCATTTTGTGGGGATGTCTCAGGCGGTTTGCTTGTTTCTGGGCCCAACATCCTTCGCTTGGAGAGCAGATTGTGAGGATGTCTCAGGCGGGGCGCTGGTTTCAGCACCCCTAAGGGGAGCCGCCAGGGGTGGTTGCACGGGCTCGTTCGCGGCCATTTTGTGGGGATGTCTCAGGCGGTTTGCTTGTTTCTGGGCCCAACATCCTTCGCTTTCGGAGCAGATTTGGAGGATGTCTCGAGCGAGGCGCTCATTTTCACCCCCCAGGTGGGCCAGATTTTGAGGATGTCTCGATCGGTTTGCTTGTTTTGGTGGCCAGGCTCGTGGGCGCAGATTCTTCTCAGGATGCCACAGGAGGCTCCAACAGGCTCCAGGAGGCCCCAGGAGACCACATGAGGTCCCAGGAGGCATCAGGAGGCCACAGAAAGACTCAAGAGGCCACAGGATGTCCCAAGAGGCTCCAGGAGGCCCCAGGAAGCTCCAGAAGGCCCAGGAAACCACAGGAGGCCCCAGGAGGCAACAGGAAGCGCCAGGAGGCCTCGGAAGGCAACAGGAGGCCCCGAGAGGCCCCAGGAGCAGGAGGCCTCAGAAGGCAACAGGAGTGGCTCCAATCCCATGTGTTTTACGTATGCTCCTATCGATTGGGCCTCACCTGGAGCACGATTATTTGATGTTCTACGTATGTTTCTATAGATGGTCCTTCTCCTGTGTACACAATCCTAAATGTTTTACTCATGTTCCTATGTATTGGGCCTCTCCTGGGGCACGAGTCCTTGGTGTTTTACGCGTGTTCCTATAGATTGCCCTTCTCCTGTGGCTCTAATCCGCAATGTTTTATGTACGTCTGTTGCTATAGATTGCGCCTCTCCTGGGGCACGAAACCTTCCTAGGAGGTCCCAGGAGGTCCCAAGAGGCTCCTGGAGACCCCAGGAAGCCCCAGTAGGTTTCAGGAGGCCCCAGGAGGCCCCAGGCTCATGCACAGAGACGCGCTCGTACTACTGAGGCTCATTCACACTCTAATTCATTCGCAGTTAGATTGATGTCCAGACCGTCACAACTGAAGCCCGTTAATATTCGAAAGCTCTTGCGCCTAGACATTCACGGCGGACAGGTCCATGCGAGTAGATGCACAGATGGGGAGCTCCACGCAGTGAATAATTTCTTGGACGCCTCCTACTCACTCTCCCTTCTCCTCTTTTCTCCTCCCCTCCTGTCGGAGTTACTCATACTCAGACTTACTCATACTCTGACATACTCATACTCAGGCATATTCATACTCAGACCTACTCATACTCAGACTTACTCATACTCAGACTTACTCACACTCAGACATATCCATACTCAGACTTACTCATACTCAGACTTACTCAGACCCAGACGTACTCATACACAGACTCACTCATACACAGTATTAGTCATACTCAGACTTACTCAACACACAGCAGATTGTGAGGATGTCTCAGGCGGGGCGCTGGTTTCAGCACCCCTAAGGGGAGCCGCCAGGGGTGGTTGCACGGGCTCGTTCGCGGCCATTTCGTGGGGATGTCTCAGGCGGTTTGCTTGTTTCTGGGCCCAACATCCTTCGCTTGGAGAGCAGATTGTGAGGATGTCTCAGGCGGGGCGCTGGTTTCAGCACCCCTAAGGGGAGCCGCCAGGGGTGGTTGCACGGGCTCGTTCGCGGCCATTTTGTGGGGATGTCTCAGGCGGTTTGCTTGTTTCTGGGCCCAACATCCTTCGCTTGGAGAGCAGATTGTGAGGATGTCTCAGGCGGGGCGCTGGTTTCAGCACCCCTAAGGGGAGCCGCCAGGGGTGGTTGCACGGGCTCGTTCGCGGCCATTTTGTGGGGATGTCTCAGGCGGTTTGCTTGTTTCTGGGCTCAACATCCTTCGCTTGGAGAGCAGATTGTGAGGATGTCTCAGGCGGGGCGCTGGTTTCAGCACCCCTAAGGGGAGCCGCCAGGGGTGGTTGCACGGGCTCGTTCGCGGCCATTTTGTGGGGATGTCTCAGGCGGTTTGCTTGTTTCTGGGCCAACATCCTTCGCTTGGAGAGCAGATTGTGAGGATGTCTCAGGCGGGGCGCTGGTTTCAGCACCCCTAAGGGGAGCCGCCAGGGGTGGTTGCACGGGCTCGTTCGCGGCCATTTTGTGGGGATGTCTCAGGCGGTTTGCTTGTTTCTGGGCCCAACATCCTTCGCTTGGAGAGCAGATTGTGAGGATGTCTCAGGCGGGGCGCTGGTTTCAGCACCCCTAAGGGGAGCCGCCAGGGGTGGTTGCACGGGCTCGTTCGCGGCCATTTTGTGGGGATGTCTCAGGCGGTTTGCTTGTTTCTGGGCCCAACATCCTTCGCTTTCGGAGCAGATTGTGAGGATGTCTCAGGCGGGGCGCTGGTTTCAGCACCCCTAAGGGGAGCCGCCAGGGGTGGTTGCACGGGCTCGTTCGCGGCCATTTTGTGGGGATGTCTCAGGCGGTTTGCTTGTTTCTGGGCTCAACATCCTTCGCTTGGAGAGCAGATTGTGAGGATGTCTCAGGCGGGGCGCTGGTTTCAGCACCCCTAAGGGGAGCCGCCAGGGGTGGTTGCACGGGCTCGTTCGCGGCCATTGTGTGGGGATGTCTCAGGCGGTTTGTTTGCTTCTCTTGGCACTATCCTCCAACATGACATGCACTTTTGGCCTTGTGTGGCTAAACGCTCGTCTTACATATCCCACTGCCAACTATCCTACAACATATGCACATGTGGGAAGCTCCAAAGCTACCACGGGCTGAAAAAGGGGAAGGCCTGGCAGCTGAGGAGGGGGGATGAAGAGGAAGAGGCTCGCATTCAACCGTATTCAAAGCTCACTCTGACTCATACGCAATCACTCGCATTAGGGGTCACTCGTCTTCGTCGGCCCTGTCGCCCACGTGGACGCGCTATTGTAGTCGACCGCTCATGAACAGACGCTCACCACGGCATGACATAAAACATGAGATGCACATATGGGGAGTTCCACGCAGTGAGTAATTGTTGACGCGCGCGGTCCGCAAAGGCGCCAGCCCCCTGCCCGCACCCCTGTGCGGGGCCTCCGGGGCCGCCCACGGAGCGCTTCGCGCGCTGGGGATGGCGGGGATGGCGGGGGAGTGCTGGGCGGGGGCTTGGGCGCCAGCGGGGAGACCGTCCCCGCGGACGCCCGAGCGCTGATGCGAGAGCTTTCCGGGCCACTGTGGAGCCCCGGGTGGCCCTCCGAGCCTCGTGAGGGGTGCTCCCAGGGAGGCCCGGCTGGGTCACCTCGGGCCAGGGGGCCACCCCTGGCAACACCCGGCGGAGATGGAAGGGAGGGGCGAGGAGGAGCCGAGCAAGGCTCTGGGGCCCGCGGCCGCCCGCTCGGCGGAGGCCGACGCCGAGTACAGGTGGGTGGTGGAGAGCTTCGCGGAGGTCGAGCTGCCGCACCCGTGGACCGAGCCGACAGCCCGCGTCTGATGCTTCGGCGAACGATGACGGCGCGAGCCGCATGCGTTTTCTTGTGTCGTGACATGCTGGGGCGGGGCCGAGGAAGGCGGGGGGGGCGGTGAGGACTACAGGGGTGTGTGTGTGTGTGGATTTAGTGGCTGGCGCCAGACATCTCCCAGGTTATCCTGGACCCCACACTTCTCCTTTTAATATATGTTCTGCCCTCCCCTCTCGTCCGCGCACATGCCTCGGACCATTATGCGCTAACCTTCCTTTATCTTGGCACTTTTCTTTTCGGCGCGCCCGAAAAGTCAATGGTTTACGTTCGTGGTACGCCACCGGTCGTTGCGCATGGAAGGACGTATACCTCCCTGCGTCGCGCAAGCGAAACAGATGGGCGTTTCCGGCCCGACTTCGGTCCCCCGCGGGCAGCTGATAGCGGTGTGATTTATCACGACATCGTATGTTGTTTCGCCGAGGTCTCTGGCAAAAACCTCGGCTGAGCTTCACCGCCTCTGGGGGACTGCGGGGGCTGGACGGGGGGACCCTCAGGATTCCATCAGGATCCGGAGGGTTTCCGAAGGGTTCCCCCCCGAATTCCTGAGGTCCCCTACGGGAGCTGAAGATCACGTGGAGAGCAGAGCTTGACCCGGTGAGTGCCCTTTTCTCCCTGCCCGCGGCCCTGCCTGAGCAGGACCTCCTTCAAGGGCGTGGGCTCGGTCGTCTGCTACCTGAACAACGACGTCGGCTCAGCGGCGCTGCATCATTCCTCCCTGACGACGGTGCGTCGTGAACAAAAGCACCAGACGGGCGCTTTCGCCCCTCGCCCTCGCGGACCGATCGGGCTCGAGAGAGCCCGCACGTGGACGGTGCCCAGAGATCCCGTCGCGGTTCCTTTGCAGCGCTGGGACTTATTTGGCGACGTCAGATGTCTGGAGTTGGCGGATGCGACCCCAGTCACGGAGAGCGCAATCGTGGCCATGTCGGCGGCGGTTGCGTGCCCCCTCGCTCCGTGTCCCATCATCACCCTCCCTCCCGGCTCCTCATCCCCCGTCTTTCCTATCCCGCCCCGTCCAGGGGACGGGGAGGGATGGAGAGGGGGAGGACGGAGGACAGCGAGGACGCAGATTTGGAGGAGGGGAAGGCGGACAAGGAAGATCAAATTCATTGCTCAAGGAGGAATAGGAGTGCGCATGGAACAAAGCGCAATGGGCGACATGCGGAGCAGGAGGAGGAGGAGGAGCAACGAGGGGGGAGGAGGAGGAGGAGGAGGAGGAGGAGGAGGAGGAGGAGGAGGAGGAGAAGGAGGAGGAGGAGGAGGAGGAGGACGTGGGACATAGGGTGGCTCTCGTCGCCGCTGCGGCTGGCCTCTTACTCGACTCGCCTGGTGCGACAGCGCTGGAGGGAGAGCAGACCATGCCACGTGCGCCGCGAGATCGGCTGTCTGCCTCCATGACGTGGCGGCCTACTCTAGGGTTCGATATCAGCATTCTGGAGGGGTGCTTCCATGACGTTGCCTTCTGCCTCCATGACGTAGGATGACGTAGGGGTCGGCCTTCTCCCTCCATGACGTTGCTGCCCGCTGACCCGCCAGGCCTCCAGCCAGGTCATAGCGGGCGCTCCACGAATCCGAGTCGCTGGGATACGAGCCCACTCGCTGCGGTCTGGCGGAGGGCCCGGGTCTGGGGTCTGCTTGCTGCCCAGGCGCGCTGGCGACCCCTCCCAGCCCGACAAGCATCCCCCACTGACCTGAAGATTAGGCTCGGCATGTCGGTATACCCAATGGGGCGCATCGCACCACTACACTTTCAAGAGCTACGGGGCCACTGCGCCACCGCCCGAGCGACAGAAAGGGGCGGCATGCGAGGCAAGCCGAGGCGGGAAGGGCCCACAACGCGCGATGCAACTGTTGTCGAGACCAGCGCACCAGGCGCCGCGCCGAACTCGCGGGACACGTATCCTTGCCAGACGTGGGTGGTCGTATGGGACCGCCGGTTTCCCGATGGCCGCCTGCAAGAAGCCACGCTCGGCGTCACCGGTGTCATTGGACGTCGCTCGCATCTTTGTGAATCAGCCCATGACATGACGGCGACGGCGACGGCCGTCATGGAAATGAGAAGCCGGGCCCGACCTCTGACGCAGCTATAAAAGATCGGATCCGTCACCCTAGCGAGGCCCTAGCGACGGGCAGCAGGATGGCTCTGGGATGAGCGCCCCAGGGGGCGGCCCGTCATGTGGGGGAGGGCGCGGGCGGCTCTGAGATCGCAGCGCAGAAGGACGAGCAGAAGAAGGCCGTGTTGAACGACGTCTTCCCGTTCGAGAGGCTGCTACGCGACCTGTCGGAGATGGAGGGCGCGCGCCGACTGCATCTGGGCCTGGCACCTCGCTGTCCTTCGTCTCGTGCGCGGCGCACTCGGGGAAGGCAGCGTCGTCGAGAGGGCCGACGGCGAAGTGGCGAGAGGACTGCCGCGACAACGGCGATGAGGACGACGAGGCGACCCCAGCTGAAATGGGACTGGTCTCAGGAGCCACGGAAGCCATCAAGCCTCAAGCCAAACAAGTAGGCGTCCAGAAAAAAAAACATGCGACGTCCATTCGTGCTCGCGAAGCAGTGAATGAAGCCCGATGGCATTCGAGAACGCAGCGCTGGAGAAGCCGATCGCCAGTGGCTCGATGAGCGGCGACAAGCTGTGGCGCCCTCTAAGGCTTCTGGTCCACGCTGCAGGGCGACACCAACCAGGAGTGCGTGAAGGAGGTCCAGCCCTTCCTGTGCGATGCGCGCCTGAAGCGGCGGCCCTTCGCGGCCGCCGGCGAGCGGAACATCGCGGTGGCCGCGGAGTTGGGCCATCGGCGTTTCTCGGGGTGGACCCCGCTAGCGCGAGGCGCCAAGCTCAACCGCGGCCCGATGCATATTTATCCTGAGTGGAATCCGCAGATGCCGATGGCGCTCCGGGCCTTTCGCAGTTGGGATTCCAGGAGACATGGGAAGGGTGCCCGTCCCCAGTGGATACCATCTGTTTCATTGCAAGCGAAGCGAAACGACGGGGTCACGTGGACGAGGGTTTCGCTGTCTATCTGGCGTACGATAGGTACCTTCGAGAACGGGACCCCCCCAAACGTGGATGACCCACCTAACGTGACCCGGACCTGGGTAACACCGAGCCCGGCCCATGCGAAATGGGCGGGGCACTTGCGTTCTGGCGACACGCTTACGTCGGAATGGTGCTGCAGTCCGTGCGTGGGGATCGAAAATGTTATTGCCGCCCAGGCAACGGCGACACCCTTCATTGAGCGTGTCGTTCTCGCCTAAGCGCCAGCCGCATCTCTGGCCAAAAATGCTGCTGTCGCCTAGGCGCCAGCAGCATCTCTCATTGAGCATCTTGTTCTCGCCTGAGCTTTGGCGGCACCCTTAGTTGAGCATGTCGTGCTCGCCTTGGCCCTTGGCGCTGGCCACCTCTCTGCCTGAGAATGTTGCTGTCGCCTAGGCGCTGGCGACATCCTTCACTGAGCATGTCGTCATCGCCAAGGTGCCGGCCACATGTCTGATTACAAATGCTGTTGTCGCCCAGGCGTGGTCGACATCCTTCATTGAGAATGTCGTTTTCGCCTTGGCGCTGGCCACCTCTCTGCCTGAGAATGTTGCTGTCGCCTAGGCGCTGGCGACATCCTTCACTGAGCATGCCGTTCTCGGCAAGGTGCCGGCCACATGTCTGATTACAAATGTCGTTGTCGCCTAGGCGTGGTCGACATCCTTCATTGAGAATGTTGTTCTCGCTTCGGCCCCAGCCACATCTCTGCCTGAGAATGTTGCTGTCGCCAGCCGTATCCTTTATTGAAAATGTCGTTCTCGCTGCGGCGACGGCCACATCTCTGAGTGAACATTTCGCTTCCGCCTCGGCGCCGGTCGCGCGCATGTTTGCGATTGTTGCTCTCGATTGGAATGCTGCTCTCGCCTGGCGCTGGTCGAAAACATGAAGGCGCAGGCTGTCATCGCCTCTGCCGATTCGGCGCAGGCCGCACCTTGTGGAGCTGCTTCTAGTAGTGCTGCTTCTGGTAGTGCTTGCCTCGTTGGTGCTGCTTGTTGCGCTTGAGCCGGTGCGCGTGCACTGGGACACCTCGCCCGCGATTGCGACGGATGTTCTCGCCTCACCGCTGGCCACATCCACCATCGCGACTGTTGTTTTGGTTTCAGCCCTGGCCACAACCATGATTTTTAATGTTGGTTTCGCCTCAGCGCCGGCCACATCTTTGATTGCGAATGTAGTTTTTGCCTCAGCGCTGGCCACATAAATTGTTGTGAACGTTGTTCTCGCTGCAGTGCTGGCCATATCCATGATTGCGAACATCACTCTCGCTGGAGCGCTGGCCACATCCACAACTACGATGGGTGCTCTCGCTGCAGCGCCTTCAACGGAAATGACTGCATGTGTTGCTCTCGCCCCAGCGCTGGCCACATTCATGATTGCGAATGTAGCTCTCGCTTCAGCGCCGGTCCGATTCTTCGTTGGAGCCGAAGAGGGATCAGTGATGCAGTTGGCACTTTTGCATTGCATGGTGTTGTGCCGCTCCATTCCACTGCATCATTTGCTACAGCTCGCGCGTGACACACTGGTGTCGCCGAGCCATTGGTCTGGTTAGCTGTCATGGGTCAGGTTAGCTTATGCGAAGTGTCGACAGCGGATAGGTCAGGTTAGGTGGGAGGGCTTGAACCAGCTAGCTCCAGCTACCAGCTGGAAACGTACGCGCGAGCTGCCCTGCGGACGACGTGAAGTTCTCGAAGGTTGCGATCTTGCTCGGTCGACGCCACAAAAGGCGAGAGCGCCAAGACTGGCCTGGGACAGGGCGTAACGATCGACGACGGCATGGTGTTCACCTTAGCCGTCCTGGTGAGGTCCACGCAGAAGGACAAGCTCGCATTCGACACCACCGCCACCAAGGCGGGCCGTGTATGGCGCCAGATTCTTGCAGATAGGGATATGAGCTGAGCGGGACCAACGCATGCTCTAGGACCTACTGGACAGAGCCAAACCATTCTGCACAAGGAAGGGCCAATACCAGAAATTCAAAGACGAGCAGATTGTCCCAGAGCAAATGTATGGCCAGATGCAGCAAGCCACACGCGCTGATGGTCCAAAACGCTCCGCTGCCATCCAAGGTCAAGCAGCTGGGACCACGCGCCAAACATGATCTACGGCCTACTCAGAACGGTCCCGTGTTCAATCCCGTTGAGCGCGGCATGCAAGGCCGCCATCGACACCTACCGTGGTCCAGACGCCTTCCAGGCCATGTGTCCCGTTGGCCAGGCAGATCGAGATGCGACCGCCCATCCTGCTGCCAGGGCTCGCGAGGGGAGGCCCATGTGCCGCCCGTCGGGCAGCTCGAACCCTTGGAACGGCAAGCTGTGCTCGCCGTGGTGGGATACAACAATGAATTTGCCTGGCCCGTGCCACGCTCCATCTCGAACGGACCATGCTTTAGATTCCCGATCGTGAAAACTATTCGTGGCCGGAACTGGCCGTGGCCAGTTAATCCGCTTTCGTTCCTTATGCCGCGCTCCTTATTGTGGCACGATGAACACCGCCTACTGGCGGGAACACCGCCTACTCGCGGGAGGCCAGTGGCGCCCGCAGAGGGGAGGAACACCGCCTACTGGCGGGAACCATATGCGGCGGGTCACGATCGATGGGCCCCTAGCCTGGGTGGGGTGGGGGGGACAAATCGGCTGCCCCAGGGCCGCTGGGTGGGTGGAGGGAAGAGGAGGGGGGAAGTATTAGCAAGTAGTAATGGAGAAGAGGACGGCTGAAGGAGGATGGGGAAGAGGAGGAAGGAAGAAGGACTGCGAGGGGGGAGCGGAGGATAAGGAGGAGGAGCACAGGGACGGATGACAAATGAGCAGGACGGAGGGAAGGACGGCGGCATGGGGAGGGGGAGGAGGAGGCGGAGGAGGTGGAGGAGGACGTGGAGGAGGAAGCGGAGGAGGAGGAGGATACGGAGGAGGAGGAGGAGGAGGAGGAGGAGGAGGAGGAGGAGGATACGGAGGAGCAGGAGGAGTGTGAGAGGTATGCGCTGGGAGGTGCGGGCCCGTCCGCTGCAGCGACTGTCTACCGGCCGGCCGATCGAACAACGGGCTGAGGAGACCAACGAGACGACGTGGAAACACCCCTTCTACGATTACTTCGCCCAGCTGCTGAACCACTGCCGCCGCTCAACACCAGAGGCCCCCCATGGGCGATCGCGGGAGGAAAAAGAAGAAGGTGGGAAGAAGCAGGAGGAGGAGAGGAGCAACAAGTGCCCAACACGGGAGACCGGGGGGGGGAAGGATAACCCATACCCCCGATCTTGGTCTTTTCGCAACGTGGACCGCTAGAGATTCCGACATTCCGCCAGACCCGCATGTGGGAGCTTGACGCTCGCCGTAAGTGGGCGGAGTCGGGGGGGTCCTGTATGGGGGTCCTCCCCCCACCTCCGCAACGAGGGTGTATAGCGACGCCGCTGGTCGCAGGCGATCGCTCGCACCCAATCCTCGAGTTTTCCTCAACAGAAACCAGAAGAGGATTCACCTCCTTCGCTTTCGCTCCCAGGCGCAACCAAGGTATGCCGTGCACCAAACGCGTTTGGTATTATACCAAGCTTTTCTGGTATTATGCCAAAGTGCCCTCTGGTTCGATATTTTGTGTCGTTCAAGACAACGTTTGGGAGTTCGGGGCTCGGCATCGCGAAGGGGCAGGAGGCTTCCGAGAGTTTGGGGAAGATCGGCGGGAGTGCGGATTGTTTGCTGGCGCGCGAGGTCACAGTCACGCTCCCCGCGAGCAAGTCGATATTGGTTGGTTCCCCTTTGGAAGCGAGGGTGGTCAAACGCGAGGTCGGCTCTCCCGCCCCTTAGCCAGGGCTCGGGCCCTCCCGAAGCCATCTTAGGCGTCTCTGGCCGTCTCGGAAGCCTGTTGGGCAGCTTTGGAGCCACCTTGGGCCGTCTTGCTGCCATCTTGGGCCAGGCTCAGGCTCGGGCTTGGGCTCTCACGAGGCTATCTTGGGCGTTTGGAGCAGTTCTGGGGGCCTCTGGGGCCCTCTTGGTGCCATATGGAGCCGTCTTGATCCCACCGATCCCACCTCGGACCAGGCTCGGGCCCGGGCCCTCGGCCATCTCAGGCTGAATATGTCACTTGTGCAAGCCAGCGCTCTGGCACACGCGTACAATGTCTTCGTGATATGAGCGTGCTCCGCCGCCCGCGGTTTCTTGTCCTCTCCTCCGCGCCTTCCCCTATGGATGCGCCCCGCCGACGTTCGACCGCGTCTTGGGCCTGAGTCGCCGCCGACAAAACAAGTTGTTCTATTGGCCCAGCCCTCCTACGTTGGGCTCTCGATTTGAATGGGGCACTGCGGTCGCGACCTCCACCCGCTCCCTCCTACCTGCTTGCTACCCTGCCTCCTACCTCGCCGTCCTGCCTGGAGGCTCTCTGGAGGGGCTGTGATCTGCGAAGCTGTCGCCGCTTTCGAGGGCTGCTGTGGGGGCCAGCAGGGTGACGTCCTTCTTACGCGGGCTTACAATAGACCTCGTCATCCCTGGGACTGCGAAGTGCGAAAGTGTCGCCACCGTTGAAGGTTTTGGGGGGCCCAGCGGGGTGACGTCATACGCAGACTCGGATTTGATCTCGGCACCACTCGGGGGCTGCGATACGAAATTGTCGCCAATTTCCAGGGTCGCTGGGTGCGCAGCGAGTGACGTCCTTCGCAAACCTAGATTCGGCCTCGCCATCCCTGGGGGGTTGCGATCTGCGAAACTGTCGCCACTTTTGCACGGTTGCCGGGGTCCCGCAGAGTGATGTTCTTCGTGGATTTAAACTAAACCTCGCCAGCTTTGGGGTGGCTGTGAGCTGCGAAACGGTCGCCACTTCCGAGGGCTGCTGGGGGATCCAGCTGAGTGACGTCCCGCGCAAACTCAGGTTGCCCTGATTCCCTTTCCCGCAGGCCGCCCGAAGACCTGGCGGCGCGCTTGCCAGATTTGTGTTCCCGCGCTGCAAGGGGCTGACATGTAAGCGTAGAATCTGGCGGGCGAGCTCCGCCTCGCTCGCTTTTTGCAGTAGCCATGACCAGATAACCTTTTGGAGTGCCAAAGTGGCATGGCGCGGGCCGCGGTGCATTTCCAACGTGCGATTGGAAAATAGTCGCCACCCTCCTTCTCCATCCTGCCTTTTTCGTGTCGGTCCTCTTCCTCCTTTCACCATGTCAATACCGTTGTCGCGATAACTGTTCGGCCCCTTGTCCGTCGGATCCCCCCTCGTCCCCGCCCCCGTTTCATTTTTTCCGAGCCTGGGGCCTTAGTCCTCGTCCTTCGGTTGCTGCCCTGTGAGTCGCGCGACGCCCGCGCTTCCCATACAGTTCGCACGGCCAATGGCACACGCAGCGTTGTCATCAGCCATACTATTCTGGACCAGCTCCTCTTGCCACTTGCGGCAAAAGGGTCTGGTGCGTCGCAGGATCATTTCTCTATCCTCCGTCTTCCCCCGTAGATTCGTAGTTGTGTTCTGCATATCTACGGATTCGTGGATCCCATTTCCCCTGGGTCCACATAATTAGTGAGTATCATCAGAGTGAGGGTACCGAACGGTCATTCATTGTCCCTGGGTGCGTGGCTGAATATGGAATGGGTGGTGAGAGTTCAGCTTGTTGCGTTGTTGTTGAACTCTCACTTCTGAAGAATAATTATTTCTGATCCCCCCTCACCGGTGCATACTTGTTTTTCTCAATCAAAGTGTGCCCCTCGACGCTCGCACACTGCTCTTTGACAGTGACAGTCTTGGTGCTCAGACTGGGCCCCTGGCCCCCCGGATTACAACAACAACGGCTCCCGCCTGAGACTTTCTCCAAATTTACTCAGGACCCCCGCTCCTGAGATTTCTTCACAAATTACTCAGGATCGGTGCTCCCGCCTGTGTGACTTCCTCGCAATTTTGTCAGGACCCCCGCTCCCATCTGAGACCTCCTCACAATTTACGCAGGAACGGCGCTCCCGCTTGAGACTTCTTCGCGCTTGAATCAAACTTTTCCTCTCAATTTAATCAAGACCTCCGCTCCCGCGAGAGAACCCTTCACATTTGATTGAGGAATTGCGCTCTCGCCTGTGGCTTCCATGCAATTTATTCAGAAATCGCGCTTTCGACTCTCAGGAAGCACGCTGCGCCAAGGACGCCGTTACAATGTACTTAGTAATCGCGCTCTCGCCATACTCGGGCATCCCGCTTGACTGTCCCACCCTCCCGACCCGCCCTTCAGGGGATCGCCCGCACGTCGTGGGCTCCCGCCCGAGACTTCCTTCAGGAACGGCGTTTTCGCCTAGGACTTCCTCGAACGTTCACGCTCTTACCTTCCTGCTCCTCCTCCCTCTCCCTCCTCCCTCCTTCCTCCTCTCCTCCCTTCTCTCTCCCTCCTCTCTTCCCTCAGCCTTGTGCCTCTCTGCCCTAACCCATCTCCCTCCTCTCCCTGCTCCCTTCTACCTCCCGTCTCCTGCCTCCTCCCTCCCTCTCTCTTTCTCTCTCTCTCCCCTCTCTTTCTCTCTCTCGCTCTTTCTCTACCTCTCTTATCTGTGTTTTTTCTCTCTATATCTCTCTCACTCTCTCTCTCTCTCTGCCTCTAATCAACCGCCCCCCTCTTCGCTCCTTCTCTCCTGGCGTTTTCCCTCTTCCTTCGTCCCTCCCCCTCCCTTCCTCCCACTCTCCCTCGTTCTCCCCCTTATTTTTTTTGCAGGGCCCACACCAATTCCAATGGCGGGCACACGTACGCCCACGAAGGATTGTCCGCCCGTTCAGGTTCGCCCGCCTGTCTAAGCCCGCCGCCCCCCCGCAAAGAGAAAGAACCCCCCCAAAGGGGGTATGATCGAAGACGAACAGGGCGGGTATCGAGGGTGTGGGGAACTCGTTTTGAATGACACGCGGGCAAGTAAGAGCGAACAGACTTATAATGATTGTGGTTGTTGTTGTGGTTGTTGTCGTCGTCGTCGTCGTCGTCGTTGTTGTTGTTGGTGTTGGTGTTGTTGTTGTTGTTGTTGTTGTTGTTGTTGTTGTTGTTGTTGTTGTTGTTGTTGTGTTTGTGGTTGTTGTTGTTGTTGTTGTTGTTGTTGTTGTTGTTGTTGTTGTTGTGTGTTGTCGTCGTCCCACCCGCGACCCACCCGCGACCCACCCCGCGACCCACCCGCCCACCCCCCCCCGCGACCCACCCCGCGACCCAACCCGTGACCCACCCGCGACCCACCCCGACCCATCCGCGACCCACCTGCGACCCACCTGCGACACACCCCGCGACCCACCACCGACCCACCCCACCCCGCGACCCATCCGCGACCCAACCGCGACCCACCCGCGACCCACCCCGCGACCAACCCGCGACCCACCCCGCGGCCCACCCTCCAGGAGGGAAAAACCACCCGGACCCGACAATTGACGTTTACTAAACGGCCCTGGGCGTTGACTGAACAGCCCTGCCTTGTTCGATCCATTCCTCGTGTGCGTTTACTAAACGGCTTCGCTTGTCGGGGTGATCATTATGGGGTGGATTTTCTGCCTTCTACACCCGCGACCCAACAGCGACCCACCCGCGACCCTTTTGCGACCCACCCGCGACCTACCCACATTGGTTTAACGAAGAAATCAGCGCCTGCGGCGGGCTCGTTGCATAATTTGCGGAACTTTGGCGCTGGCGCCTGCGGCGGGCTTCTCCAGAGTCTCGCAAATTGCCGACGTCCCCACCGCCCCCTCACTTCTATCCGCATCTGCGGGGTGCTAGTTACGTATTTTATATCCCAGCGAAAGGCTGGGATCCTCGAAGCGTCCACGCCGAAAAATGGGATCCTGAAGACAGACAAATGGGTTATGCGGGACTCGTGCGCACACGTGATGAGATCAAATGGGATCCATTGTTTCTCACGCAAGAGGACACAACCTTTGGCCAGGGGGGAAATGATCGGAGGGGGCTCGGGGAAAGCAGTTGGGAGGCGAGGAAGGGGTAGCCGGTGAAGGGAACAGGGGAAGGCAAGAGACGTAAGGGGAGGATGATTTGGGAAGGCAGGGTGGTGTCAGAGGGAACGAGGTCGAGGGGAGGGGACCAGAGGGGACGGACAGGGGGTTGTGGATGAAATAACGGTTTCGGAAGGGAGGGGGCGGGTAGGCGGGGAGATGAGGGAGGACGGCCAGGGAGGGGAACGAGGGCTTCGGACGAGAGGAGGAAAGGGTAGGGGAGATGGGGGGGGGGAGGGGTGGGGGCGAGGGCGAAAGTGGCGTCGGAGGGGGGGGGAGGGGGAGAAAAGGGAGGGGGGCACGGCTGGGGATTGCATGGAAGGGCGGGCCACGGCTGTCGCATGCGACGACTGGCCCTGCCGCGCGCTAAAGGTCACTCGTGCCAAGGGGCATTCGTGTGTTCAGAAAATTAAAATGGGAATTCGGGGGTACGTCCCCAGAGAGACAGTTTTTACGCACCCATATCGATGATGGACGCCCCCACCCGATCGTATACCCCGAGTACGTCTGTTGTTGTCCAGTCGGAACTCCCTTGAAGAAAGGAATCTCAGGGGAAAGGGGTTTGGGGGTTGGGGGATTTTTCGCCGGTCAAAATTGACTTCTGGGTCTGTCGAAAGACGGTTCGTGATGTGAAATTGTTTTTGAGGGTAGCCCAAGGATCCAGGAATTGTTACCCTCGGGACTTCTTTCGTGTATCATCCATCCGGACGCCGACGCTGGGGGAAGCGCGGCAATCCACAGTGTTGATGGACAATTGTGATGGGCCCATCACCTAGGAGATAAGTCGTGCTCGCACGACGGCCTTGAGAAATCTCAAGGCTGGGTACCACCCGCGGATGGGGCTTCCCCTAAGCGGTAAACCACCACTCGGCCAAGGTAGCCGCCCATTTCAACCCTCGCGGCTCCCTATTTAGTTTCCCGGCTGCAGAGCGCATATGTTTTGTGTTTTCCTCCTTCGCGCTCGCTCCTGCGGCTGAAGCCTTGCACAGTGCCACATCACCGCTGCCCACGCGCCCTTCGCCTCTTCTGCACCAGAGCCTGCTTGTGAGGTTCGGGACCCCCGACCGGGCGCCGATTTGACTACACGGACGTTCATGCACCCTTGCCTGGCTTCCGTACCATCGCGCTCAGATTGCACTCGAATCCGAAGCCAGCTCGGAGGTCGCGACAGGTCCCCACAGGCCTCACGAGGTCCCCCGAGGGTTCTAAGGCCCAGGGTGCCCCAAAAGGGCCAATAATCATTAAGCAAATGCCATTCGCGATCGATATTCCACCCTCCTCACATGCTGCGCGTTTTGACAGCGCCGCGGGGCTTCAGGAGCACATCAAGCTGCGCATCAACCGCGTGCTCTGGTCCTACGAGGCGGAGTCGCAGACGGACGTGCAGTCGCAGATGCCACTCGTTTCGCCGAAGTATGTGAAGGCTGCCGCGCGCGGTACGCTGTGCGGAGCGTGAGGTGTGTGTGTGTGTGTGTGATGCAAGCGAGGAAGAGCAGCAGGACGCGCGGTACAAGGGGAGAAATATTATCGTTTGTTTGTTGTTGCTAGGCTGTTCCCCCCCCCGCTTCTTTTGGGCCAGCCTCCCGAAGGGAATCTGGAAGAAGAGGGCGAAGCGAAGGTCGTTGGAGGAGCAGGTGGAGAAACAGGAGGCGGAAAACGGGGGCTGACGATGGGCGAGGAGCAGAAGCACGGGGCGGAGGCGGAGGCCGAAGGGGAGTATGAGGGGGCAGGCGAGATGAAAATCAGCAGGAGGATCAGGACGAGACGACAGGAGCAGAAGTAACAGGATGATCAGGAGGGGAAAAGCATAAGGCAGGAAAGGCAGCAATCCCAGGCAGCAGCACTATAAGGGGGCAGGAGTGGAATGGGATTGCCATAGGTACAGCGCCATTGGGTTCTTGGGAACCTCGAGGCGCCTCGTCGGGGCCTCTTTGGGCCTCTTGGGAGCCTGCGGGGGCAGAAGGCTGGAATTGTGGGTTCGTGTTGCCCCTCTTGGGGCCCTCTTGGACTCTTGGGCCGCTCTGGGGCCCCTCTTGGGCCGTCTTGGGGGGCCTCTTGGGCCGTCCGGGTGCCCTCTCGAGTCATCTTGGGGCTCCCGAGAGGTCTCTGACGCCGTCTTGGGGCTTTCTTGGTCCCCTCTTGGGCCGTTTCGGGTCGGTCTTCAGCGCCTCTTGAGCCTTTTAGGAGCGTTGGAAGCCCGAAGCCGTAAGAACTCCCAAATCCTTCAAACACCGACTGGAAATCTATAAGTTTGGCCTCTTGGGGCACTCGTCGGTTCTCGGGCCGTTGGGGCCTTCTGGTCCGTTTGGAAAGCTTCTTGGGCCGTCTGAGGCCCCTAGAGGCCGTCTTCGAGGTGGCTCGGGGCCGTCTTGGGCCGCCAGGACGGCTGTCTGATCGCTCTGGGGGTCGACGGGCAGACCCCCATCACCGGGCCCGGCCCCGAAGCGCCCCGACAAGGGTCGGCCCACCCCCGGGACTAAAGAGGTGACCAGGGGGGAGTTTTGAAAAAGTGTGTTGCCCCTGGGGCCGGGGGCCCAGTTCCCTGTTTTTGCACAGTCTATGTCGCGTTGCCGATGCCTCCTGATCTGCAGCAGCACGCTTGAATTTCAAGTCATCTGCTTTGGTTTAACCCGCTTATGATTCATCCACGTTTTGCCCGCTTTTGTTTAATCCGCTTTTGTTTCCCCCGGTTTCGTTTCATCTGCTAGTGGTTCGCCCGACTTTGTATCATTTCGCCCACCTGATTCCAAAGTGGGTGAATCCAAACGGATGATTTCAAACTCGGCCGGATCTCAAGCAGGATGGTTTTAAACCCGTGCGACTCCAAATCGGATGAAATGGAACATCGGGCGAATGCAGACCGGATTAGTCTAAGTTCGGGCGACGATGAAACACATAGTACCAAAGTTTAAAGCTGCGAAGTCAGGAAGGTGAGCCGACAAGGGCGAATCGATTCAGGCGAATTGAAACGGGCGAATTGAAGCGGATGAATTGAAATCCGGGCGAATTACAAACGGGCGGATTTAAACGGGTGAATCTAAACGGGTGGATGTACACGGAGGGAATGTATCTAAACGGGTGGATCGAAAAGGGCGACTTTTATTCCGGGTGAAACAAAGCAGAATCGTCCCAGTGTTTTTTATGCGTTTTGGGTGCCTCTGGGGGCTTCAAGGGGCTTCTCGGAAGCCTCTTGGGGGCATCTTGGGGGCCACCTCTAGGGGCCGTTTCGGGGCGCCCTTGCGAGCCTCGGGGGCCATCTTGGGGCCATCTTGAATGAGGGGGGCTCCTCAATTAGGGTCCCCGCCAGGAGGCCAACATATTTCCAAAACCTTAGTATCATCAGTGACTTTGGCCTCCTTGCCGAGGCCTTTTGGGGCTTCTTGGGTGCCTCTTAGGGCCTGTTGGGGGTCTCCTGGGAGCTTCTTAGGGGCCTCCTCTTGGAGGCCTTTTGGGGACCTCTTGCATCCTCTTGGGCACCTCTTGAGGCCGTTTTGGGGCACCCTTGGGAGCCTAGGGGGCCATATTGAAGGAGATCGATCAAATGATGGGGGATCTCCTCAATCTGGGTCCCCCCCAGGAGGCCAACATGTGGTCAACACCGTATTCCAAATCAGTGATGTTGGTCCTCTCGCCGAGGCCTCTTGGGGCTTCTTGGGTGCCTCGGGGGGACCTCTTGGGGCCCCTTTGAGGTCTCTTGGGGGCCCCTTGGGCGCCTCCAGTGGCCGTCTTGGGGCCATCTTGGAATAGATCGATCAAACGGGGGAGGGCTCCTTAATTTGTGCCCCCCCCCCCCTGGAGGCCAACATGTGGCCAAAACCTTAGTAACGTCAGTGGTTTGGGCTTCCGCGTCGAGGCCATCTTGGACGCCCCAACCCCTCGCGAAACGCCCCGTTCAGACCCAGAGTGAGGGTGTAGGGGGGGTGTCAAGGCACCCTCCAGATAGCAAGCCGTCTAGCTCACTCCCACCCGCCCTCCCAACACAGAAGTAACACCCGGAGCTCAGCATGTTCAGCGGTCGTCTTTGGATGGGCAGCTACTGGGAACCAACACCTGGAACCAAAACCGAGCCCACGTGCGCGACGTTGGGGCGAGGTGCGCCATGCGTGCCAGGCGCACCACGCGCGCCAGGCACCCCTGGGGCCCGAGCGTGCCAGGCACACATGGTGCGCCAGATGCGCCACGTGCCTCCGCGTGCGCCAGGTGCGTCGCATACTCCAGCCGCGCCAGGTGCGCCACGTTCGGGGCACGTGCAGATTGTGTCAGCTGCGCCTGCGCACGTGACAGCACACATCGGGGAGCATGTCGGCCCCCACCATCCGTATGGAACACCAATGCCCATCATTGTGTCTGGTGGGCCGCTTTGGCACAGCAGGCCATACGCCACCACCCTCGCCGCCCCTGTCAAAAGCCACTTGAAAGTGATCGCGGTGTGGCCGCGCATGATCCAGATTTAGCCGCAATGTGCATTATGTGTGTGTGCGTGTGTGTGTGTGTGTGTTTTGTCAGGGATGGTAGCCCTGCGAGCAGCAGGCAATCTACTGACACCCCCGCCGCCCCTGTCGAAGAACAAATCAAAGTGCTCGCGGGCCTCACTTATATGACTCCAAAGTGCATGTTGTATTGTTCTTTGACAGGGACCCGCATCGGGTTGGTTGCGCATGCTCCGAATTTGGAGGCAGAGTGCGTGTTGTATTGTTTTTTTTGCATGGATGGTGGGGGGCTGAGCATGGTTCTTGGTTGGCTGCTGGTCGCCTGGGGGAGGGGGTGCATGCTAATAGGGAAAGTGATAAAACCTTCCCCGACGGGGAAGAAGGGGGTTTGAAGAGGAAGCCCGCAAAACCACTCACGCCCAAAAGGGCTGGTGGGGTTCTCATCCCGACAAGTGTGTGCTTCTTTGAAGTCTGTCGCACAGTAAATTAAATATCACATTTGCAGGCTGCACGGGGCGCCCGAACGCATTCATTATGAGGTACCCTATCCCTGCACTGGGCGAAAGACGGCAGCTTGTAGGGTCTTCAGTATCTACGCGAAGCCGTTTGAGCACCGACGAAGCACACCGTTCATTGAAGTTCAACGCGCAGGTGAACGCGAGCGCCCCCCGGAGATCGTGGCCATTGCCACAGACCAGGATGCGGACTCATGCCCTACCACGGCTGAAACAGTCGTTCGAATGATGACCAAAGGGCATGCGGTGGTAATATGGCCAGCCAGAACACGTCCAAAAGCCTTTGGTTGCACTCTAATCGTATGAGGTACCCTATCCCTGCACTGGGCGAAAGACGGCAGTTTGTAGGGTGTGGGTGCCTCTTAGGGCCTGGTGGGAGTCTTCTGGGAGCTCCTTAGGGGCCTCTTGGGGGCCTTTGAGGGACCTCTTGCAGCCTCCTGCGCACCTCTTGAGGCCGTTTTGGGGCACCCTTGGGAGCCTCGGAGGACATATTGAAGGAGATCGATCAAATGATGGGGGGGCTCCTCAATTTTGGTCCCCCCCCAAGGAGGCCAACATGCGGCCAAAACATTATTCCAAATCAGTGATGTTGGTCTTCTCGCCGAGGCCTCTTGGGGCTTCTTGGGTGCCTCTGGGGGACCTCTTGGGGCCCCTTTGGGGTCTCTTGGGATCAAACGGAGGGGGGCTCCTTAATATGTGCCCTTCCCCCCTGGAGGCCAACATGTGGCCAAAACCTTAAGAACGTCAGTGATTTGGGCTTCCGCGTCGAGGCCACCTTGGACGCCCCAGCCCCTCGCGAAACGCCCCGCCCAGACCCAGAGTGAGGGTGTAGGGGGGGGGGTCAAGGCACCCTCCAGATAGCAAGCCGTCTAGCTCTTTCCCACCCGCCCTCCCAACACATAAGTAGCACCCGAAGCTCAGCATGTGCAGCGGTCGTCTTTGGATGGGCAGCTACTAGGCGACGTTGGGGCGAGGTGCGCCGTGCGTGCCAGGCGCACCACGCGCGCCAGGCACCCCTGGGGCCCGAGCGTGCCAGGCACACGTGGTGCGCCAGATGCGCCACGTGCCTCCGCGTGCGCCAGGTGCGTCGCATACTCCAGCCGCGCCAGGTGCGCCACGTTCGGGGCACGTGCAGATTGTGTCAGCTGCGCCTGCGCACGTGACAGCACACATCGGGAAACATGTCGGCCCCCCTGATCGATATCGAAAACCAATGCCCATCACTGTGTCTTGTGGGCCTGTGCACAGCGGCCATACGCCACCACCCTCGCCGCCCCTGTCAAAAACCGCTTGGCAATGATCGCGGGGTGGCCGCGCAGGATCCAGATTTAGCCGCTATGTGCATTATGTGTGTGTTTTGTCAGGGATGGTAGCCCTGCGCGCAGCAGGCAATATACAGACACCCCCGCCGTCCCTGTCGAAGAACAAATCAAAGTGCTCGGGGGCCGCACGAATATGACTCCAGACTTTGCCCCAAAGTGTATGTTGTATCATTCTTTGACAGGGACCCGCATCGGGTTGATTGCGCATGCTCCGGATTTGGAGGCAGAGTGCGTTTTGTATGTTTTTTGACAGGGATGGTGTGGGGGGGCTGAGCATGGTTCTTGGTTGGCTGCTGGTCGCCCGGGGGAGGGGTGCATACTAATAGGGAAAGTGATAAAACCTTCCCCGACGGGGAAGAAGGGGGTTTGAAGAGGAAGCCCGCAAAACCACTCACGCCGAAAAGGGCTGGTGGGGTTCTCATCCCGACAAGTGTGTGCTTCTTTGAAGTCTGTCGCACAGTAAATTAAATATCACATTTGCAGGCTGCACGGGGCGCCCGAACGCATTCATTATGAGGTACCCTATCCCTGCACTGGGCGAAAGACGGCAGCTTGTAGGGTCTTCAGTATCTGCGCGAAGCCGTTTGAGCCCCGACGAAGCACACCGTTCATTGAAGTTAAACGCGCAGGTGAACGCGAGCGCCCTCCGGAGATCGTGGCCATTGCCACAGACCAGGATGCGGACTCATGCCCTACCACGGCTGAAACAGTCGTTCGAATGATGACCAAAGGGCATGCAGTGGTAATATGGCCAGCCAGAACACGTCCAAAAGCCTTTGGTTGCACTCTGATCGTAAGAGAGCACAAGAAGTCGGGTGTGGCGGCCATCAGGTTCAGACGTGTGTCAGCCCCGCAGGGGGCCTGGTGGACATAAGAAAGCAAATCCGGCTATCTCTAAGCTGTCCTGCGTAATTACTGGCCTGTCGAGGAAAAACAGGTAGGAACGCACTTTCCCAAATTTGGCTTGCCTAATGGGTTCTTGCTGAGGTTTTCCTTTTTGTTATTGAAGCACCGGTGGGTGCGAGGCCTGCGCTGGCTGGCGTTCCTCGGGTTGCCCCGTTGTTTGGCTTTCTGCGGGTTGTCCAAGAGGTTTCCACTATCGCCCCAACACCAACCACAAGGGCCCCAAGAGGAGCCCAAGCCGGCCCAAGAGGGGCCCAATATTGCCCATGAGAGCCTCCAGACGCCCCAAGAGGTCCTCCAGCTCGGCTCAAGAGGGCAGCAGAGGGTCTACAAACGGTCCACGACGTATAGCAGCAATTTGTAGACCATCCCCGCGAGACCCCTCAGTCGGCCCCAACGGCCCAAGAGACTCCCAAATCAAGACGAGTCCCAAATCGGCGAATCGGAGTTCTACTTACTCGATCTCGGCACGACGCACGAAGCTTCCAAATGCTAGAACTTGAGCGCGCGATGGTTTCATTATATATGTAAGTCAATGAACAGAGCTATGTGTATTCACATTTGCCTTGCAGCGATCGTTGTCTGGACATACCCGCCCCCTGAACCCCTCTCCAGATTGGCGCAGCAACAAAAACGTGGCGGATGGATCGCGTGAGCGGATGGGCTGCGATTGTCCCGTGCGGGCTGCGGAGTGATATTCTCATTGATTAAATCGGTTCATTTTTAATTCGTTGGACGGAACTGGTTGTCGGACGAGTGGCAGTGCGTTGCCAGAGACGCACGTCAAGAAACCGTTTCTGTTTGGTTCCGGTATTGTTTCAAGAGGAGCCTGAGGGTTTTACATAATCTGCACATCTTCAATCAATCGAGTCGCTCGGGTTTCAGCGTCTGGGTTTGGTTTGGAGGTTTCTTGGGGCTGGGCTGGTGGTGTAATCGTGGGCACGCCGTCGTCATGGCAGGTGTTGGCGGACATCCTTAAATGCGATCTGAACGAGGAGCCGTACATGGTGCGGACGCTCAAGACGTTTCTGAAGGCGTTGCGGTGAGCGAGGGGTGCGCCGTACGAGAGCGACGGGAAGCACAGGAGGGAGTGCACGATGATGAGGACTGGCGAGAGCGAGGAGTAGGGGCCGAATTGAACGCAGCGCAGCAGGGGGAAGAGGGACGCATTTGACCAGAGCGCCTTCTCATAGTCCTGAAGTTCCCGGTTCGAGTCTGACGTCGCCCGCTCAAGTCTTATGCCTGATTGAGTATTCCGATGACCCGTTCCCCAACATGAAGCGCGGGCCCCATAGGGAAAGGGGGCCCCGCCTGAGACTTCCACGCAATTGACTCACAGACGGGGCCCCCGCTCGAGAGATCCTCACGATTTGCCCCCAAATGGGGTGCTGAAGTGTTATGCCTGGTGGAGTATGTCGATGACCCGTGCGTATTGCCAACATGAAGTGCGGGGCCCATACGGAGGGGGCTCCCGCCTGAGAATTCCTCGCAATTCACTCGTAGACGAGGCCCCCGCTAGAGTCAATCTCACGATGTGCCCCCCGGGGTTGCTCAAGCGCTATGCTTGGTGAAGTATTCTGATGACCCGCTCGATTTACAAATATGAAACGCGGGCCCTATAGGGAGGGGAGGGGGCTCCCGCCTGAGACTTCCTCGCAGTTCACTCACAGACGAGGCCCCCGCTCAAGACATCCTCACGTTTTGCCCCCTTCGGGGTGCTCAAGCGCTATGCCAGGTAGAGTATGCCGATGACCCTCTCGGATTACCAACATGAAATGCGGGCCTCATAGGGAGGCGGGTCCCACTCGATATTCCCTTCAATGTGAGTATGTGAGTGTGTGCGTGTGTATGGCGATCATGAATGGTGATGATGGGTGAGTGTGTGGGTATGAGTGACTGCATGATGATGACGATGATGACGGCGATCAGTATGATCGCGATGGTGATGGAGGGATGTTCCTGCGCAGGGTGCCCAGAGAAAACAATCACCCAATTGAGGAGGTGGGGAACACCTAGACTGATACATTACATTGTGATCAATATTCCGTTACGTCAATCGTGCAGTTGAGTCGTCGTCTTGCGCCCCTCGGAGTTGGATCGGTTGTTTTGTCGTAATTGTAGTGCCCCCCTCTGCTTCGTTCATCGACAACATGCCAAATCCGTGCACGGCCATACAGGATTCTTTTGATTTGAACTGCTGGCATAAGCCATTCATTCTAACTAGACATGCGCAGTGGGGGGGTGTGAGGGGAGGGGGAGGATTGATCGGTATCACGATGGCTTCTCGAGTCAGTATCGGGGAAACCTTTCTTCATGGGCCGCCGCGATCTCATCCTTGCTGGGTACACTCGTATTGCATGAGCCTCCCTTCTGGAGTGTGTGGCCCCATATCACAGCTGGCTGCGGGCGTTAACTGTGCCTTTTTCCTCCCCTCATCACCTAGTTCCGCTGTTGCGCTCGCTCTGCAACAAAAATCGCGCCCACATTTCTCCTCGCGAGCGTTTCGGTGCCCCACGTTGCCCAGCCATGATCAGGCGGGCGTGCGCGTGTGCCCAATCTGGAGCCAGTTTGGGGCGCTTGCGACGGGGAGGCGCGCGATGGGAGTATGGAGAGAGGATGGGGGGAGAACTGGACATGAGCAATGCGGCAACCCTCTTCGGGAAGGCCTTCTCCCAGATGTACCACGAAGGCGAACTTGACACGCAGGAGGTCACATGGTGACTCCTCCTCCCCCTGCTCGCCCCGATCCTTCTCATCCTGCTCATCCTATTGTCTTTATTCCTAACTGTTACGTGTCATGTTGGTATCCTGCTCCCTCTCTCTCCTCCCGTTGTTGTTCCTTCGCCTGTTCTTGTCACTGTTGCGGCTCTATCGTCGTGTGATTGGACGGTTGGCCAGCTCGCGAGGTCAAGTGGTGCTTAGAGATCGTAAACAACGAGCGCTCCAAGGAATGCCGGACGCTCCAGAATCATTTTTCTGCGCGGCGCGTTGTGTTGTAGAGTTCGGTTGGCGGTCTCAGTTAGTCGGCACAGTTTTCCCCCCAGGCAGTGTTTTCACCAAGGGCTTCTCACGTCTTGCGCAAGTAGTGCTTGACTTAAGGGTTCCCACTGCGGTTGATCAGCTATTAGGTGGGCGCGGAGAGATTTCGCCTGGTGGGCTGCCGTGGGCGCCTCGTGGGCGCCGCATAGCTCACTTCACGTTGCTTAATTCATACATCTTGCGCCAAGTGGCTGACACCGCATAGCTCACACCACATACATTCCTTCATTCAAGGAGATTGGGTTCTGCCCCCCCCTCCCCCGCCGAGGCTGGGGTTACTCGCCCACCTCCACGTAGTGCTTCCCCGTACTTCTTGTACACGATCGGTCACCTCACATATCAATCATATCATCCCAGCCAAGCCAGTATCGACACCTCCCGCGATCTCTTGCAAAACTTAGCATGCGGTGCTCATGCGGTGATCTGAGAAGCGCTTGATCGAAGAAGATCTTGCACACGATCTGGTACGGTGTAGCAATTTCCCACATATGATTCGCATCATACATATTGCGCCACATGGCTTGCGCCACATAGCTTGCATCGCATAACTTACGTCACATAGCTTACGCCACACATCTCACACCAGATGGCTCGCACCACATCTCTTTCAAGTGCGAAGTGCAATTGCTCACTGTTGGGGGTCCACGCTGGCATAAAGGTGTCTAAGTGGTTCATGGGCGTGTGATGCTTGTTTTCCCGGGTCGCCGCCAGTGGGCGCCCCGTGGGCGCCTCGTGCGTTGGCATGGGTTTGTAGGCGTTTCGTGCTTGCTCTGGGTTTTCAGGGCTTTCGTTTGGTCGCCGCCTGTGGGCGCCTCGTGCGCATCTTCGGCGCTGGCTATGATTGGTCACCGCCCGTGGTTGCCTCGTTGCCGCCTGCATAGCATGTACCACATTGCATGCACCACATGTAGCAGCGCCAGTAATATTGTACCACGCAGCATGCACGCACCGCATAGCTTGCACCACACATATTCTAGATGCTTCGCGTAACCCCACCAGTCCGTAGCCTCTGGCTCAAGCTTCCACCCCGGCTGCCTCCCAGCTTGTGTTCGCCTCTTGCAGCCATATCTGACTATACCCCTAACCCATGAGCTCCAGCCGACTGGACCCCATTCTGCGCAGCCCAGTGAACCGGGAGAGCTCACGCCTGGCGAGCCGTTCCACCAGCTCGGGCAGCCTCATGTCGCATCCGTCGCTCAGCCGCAGGGCTTGCTCCAACCCTCGCCCTGTAAAGGCTGAGCCAGGCGCCCAAGTGTGTGCGGCACCCAGCACAGCGCCTGGCTCCCCCGTGTCCAGCTGTACGGGTTCGAAGTCGTCGGTGTGCGACTCCCCTGCGAGCAGCGCGGGGCGCGACTCTCCTGCGAGCCGCCGCTCAGTCTCGAGGCTGTCTGTGGCAGGGAGTTGCGGAGCGCCAGTGGCGGTGGTCGACGTGATCCGCTCCAGGCGCGGTGGTCACAGGCCCCCGTCTGGGGCGCCAGCGCGCGAGGACCTGGAGCTTGCGCGGAGCGATCGGGGCAGCGGCCCTGCTCCCAGGGGATCGTCGCGCCCCGCGGGGGCGGCGGCGGCGGCGGTGCGGAGCCACTGCAGGGACGTCGCGGAGGCCTGCCGACTTGCCCAGACCATGCAGGTGCCGTTGGCAGAGATGCAGCGGGCATACGCCGCCTTCCGGGACCACGCCGAGCCCCTTGCCCCAGGGGCCGATATGCTCAGGGACGGACGCCTCGGCCAGGAGCAGTTTGCCAGGCTCATGCAGAGCCAACTCAACCTGGACAGCGACGTCTTAGCGGAGCGGCAGGTTCAGCTGATGGCGTCTTCCGTCAAGAAGGTGTGTAAGGCCGTGGGTGTCCACGGGGATCGCGGTCTGAGCTTCTGTGAGTTTTTTGAGTGCAGCGCATCTGGTGTTTCGACAAACGACACAGCCTAACCGAGGAGGAGCGCGGCTTGCGCAAGATGGCCCTGAAGTACGGCTTAGATCCCGTCGAGATCGACAGGTACAAAAAGGAGTTTGACGAGCTGGACGTGGACCGAAGCGGCAGAATAGACAGCCAGGAAATGGAGAGCTTTCTCTCTTTCATCGGCCGCGCTGACATGTACAAGCCAGTCCTCGGGGATAGCATCGGTTTTGAGGAGTTCTTGATCTTCAGGTTGAGGTACTTGACACCAGGAGCCACAGGCTTCAGGCAGTCCTCAGGCAGTACTGGAGGTGATGCGCGGCCTGAAGCCTGAACGGACTGCGGGCCAGTCCAATTTCTGTGTATGTTGGAACGGCAGGGCTGCATCCAACATGCCAGAGTGTGATGTTCAAGCCCACTGGTTTCCACAATTGCACAGCCAGCGGAGGCATGGGCCACGTGCTGTTCGAGTGACTCAAGAACCTTGCCATTGGCTGCCCACTGGGCGGTCGAACATTCTCGGATGCGCACCTGATCTTCGTGCGTAGCGACGCGCGGGCACGAGGCACTGATCGCGAGAGTCGGATGGCGCTGTCTCCAGCGTAGACTCAGGGCGGTCCGTGGCAACGGTATGCCATGGCCCCCCTGTTGAGAAGGTAGGGCTGTGGTTTTTTTAACACACCGGAGTGTTCACTGGTTTCCACAGTTGTACAGCGAAGGGAAGCGTGGGCTGGAACCTTGCCAAGCCTTGCAATGGTAGGAAAGCCAAGGCACGGGAGCAGAGCCTCCTTTCTCGTCCTCTCCCTTCTCTGCCCGCACCTCTCCATCCTCCTCTTATCCTGGCCTTGGAAATGTTGCCCCTGTTCTGGGTGTTAGCTGTTCTTTGCAGCTGCTGTCGTGTGAGTAGCAGTCCAACGCGAGCGTGGGATTGCCTCCGACGGCGTCGCTCGCGCGCTGCAAAGCCAGACTGGAGCACCACATAATCTGCAAATTCTAAACGCTTCGCGTATCCCCACCGGGACCTGTTTCCGCCTGGCACACGCTAAGCGGCTTTTGGGGTCCGCGTAATGCTGTCACACGCTCAGCGGCTGGGCTCTTCATTATCTGCAGGTGCACTCTGCGCAGTGTCGCGCCAATTATCTGTCGCTGTGCCCCAGCCTCGGTCATACCGCCCTCTGGACTTCTCCTTGCGGGCCGCGAATCTAAAAAAGTAACCCCACCAGCCCATCCAGACACGATGCCCAGACGAGTTGCCCTGATCAGGGATGTGGAGGAGAATACAGTGGAAGAAAGGGCTGGGCAGACGACGTACCCCAAGAGAAGGAGGATGGAGGAGGAATCGGAGGAGGAGCAGGAGGAGCAGCAGAAGAATTAGGAGGAGGAGGGAGAGGGGGAGGGGGAGGAGGGAGGAGGAAGGAGGATGAGGAACTGGCGGATGAGGAGGAGGAGGAGGAGGAGGAGGAGGGCGATCAGAAAGGCCAGAGGCCATTTGGATGCCTCTCGGAGTCTCTTCGGATTTCGTTCAACTGGCGTCCTCTTGGGGCGTCTTAGGGGTCTCTTGGCAGTCCCGGGGGCCTCTTGAGGCGTCCTGGGTCCCGCTGGGGGGCCTCTTGGCGCCTTCTGGGGGTCTCTTGAGGGCCTTCGGGGGGCATCTTAAGGGCATCTTGGGGCCTCCTGGGCACCTCTTGGGGCCGTCTTCGGGCACCCTTGGGAGCCTCGGTGGCCATCTTGGAATCATCTTGAATACATAGATCGATCAAAGGAGGGGAGCTCCTTTCTCAGAGCCAAAGGAGGGAGCCTCCTTACTCAGGGGTCGCCCCCCCCGAAACAATTAATGAGTTTGGCCTTCTCGCCGATGTCTCTTGGCTTGACAGCCTCTTGGGGGCCTTTTGGGACCTCCTGGGCACCTCTGGGGGACCGTCTTGGGGAACCTTTGGAGCCTCGGAGGCCATCTTGGGGCCACCTTGGAGGAGATCGATCAAAGGATGGAGCTCCTTAATCAGGGTCCCCACCCCCTAGGAGGCCAACATGTGGCAACAACCTTAGTAACATCAATGAGTTTGGCCTTCTCGCCGTTGTCTCTTGCGGCGTCTTTGGTGCCTCTGGGGAGCCTCTTGGGGCCCCTGGGGGTATGTTGGGAACCTTTGGGGGGCATCTTTTGGGCCTCTTGGGGGGCCTCGGCCTCTTGGGGTCTCCTGGGCACCTCTTGGGGCATCCTTGGGTCCATTTTGGGGCCATCTCGGAGGAGATCGATCAAAGGAGGGGAGCTCCTCACTTAGCGCCCCCCCGGGAGGCCAAACTGTGGGCAACACTTTAGTATGAACCCGGCGCGACCCCAATTAGGAGACGGTTTCCTATTGCATGGGCGCAGTGCTTGGCATTGCTTGGCATCGCTTGGCATAAGGCACCTGGGGAAACCGTGGAGCTGGGATAACGTCCGAGCAACGGGCAAAGTGACCCCCCGAGGCACCAATTTTAACACATTCAGAACCTACTGGGCAAGCCTACAACAGTTGGGATAATCCATGATTTTGGCCTTCTCGCCGAGGCCATCTTGGATGCTCTGACACCCTGCACCCTGCCCCCGTCCAGGTCCAGGGGGAGGGAGGGGGAAGGGGGAGGGGTCAAGACACCCTCCCTGCCCGCAGGCTGTCTCGCTCACTCCCACCCGCCCTCCCAACACATAAGTAGCACCTGAGCTTCAGCATGTTCAGAGGTCGTCTATGGATGGACAGCTTCTGGAAACCAAATCAGACCTCATGTGCGCGACGCTGTGGCTGGGTGCGCCACGCGTGCCATGCGCGCCACGCGCGCCAGGTGCGCCAGGTACCCCTGGGCGGCCCAAGCGTGTCAGGCACGCCTGGCGCGCCATATGAGCCACGTGCGCCATGTGTGCCGCATGGTCCAGCCGCGCCAGGAGCGCCACGTTCGGGGCACGCGCAGAGTGTGCCAAGTGCGCCCGCGCACGTGACAGCACACATTGGGAAACACGTCGGCCCCCACCACCCTTGTCGAAAACCAATGCACAATCGCGGCGGGGACCATATGGGATCTGGTGGGTTTGCACGCAGCAGTCAATATGCCAGCGCCCCCGACGTCCTTCATCCAGATTCACCCGCGAAGTGCAGTTTATTGAATCGCTTCGCTCATTCCGCCGGCCCGTGATATGGCATCGCTGGTTTTTGTCTGTGTGTTCGTTGCCCATGTTGCGCTCTTGGGGGCGGGTGTCGTTCGGACGCGTTGCGTGGGGAGTTTTGATGGTGAAGCAGTTCCCTGGGGGTCGTCTCTCGATGGGGCGAAATAGAGTCGTCGTCAAGATGCTTCTTTGGGGGGCCTCTTGGGGTCTGTTGAGAGGCCGTTCGGGGGCGCCTGGGAGACATGTTTGAAGCCTTCTGGGGCTTCTTTTGGGCCTCCTGGGAGTCTCCTGGGGCCTCTTGGCGACATCTTGGGGCCTCTTGGAGGCCTCTTGGGGCCTCTTTGGGACCTCCTGGGCGCCTTCTGGGACGGAGGGCTCCATTTTTGAGTTCTCGGTATCCCTCCTGAGTCCCTCTTGGGCCCGTCTTGGGGCCTCTTGGTCCGTCTTGGGCGGCACTTGGGCCGTCTTGAGGGCTCTCTTGGGTCGTTTCGGCGCCGTCTTGGGAGCTTCGTGGGCCGTCTTGGAGCGGTCTTGGGGGCCTTTTGGGCCGTCTTGGGGTCATCTTCGGCGTCTTCGAGCGCTCTTTGGGCGTCTCGGGGGCCTCTTGGGCAGTCTTGGGGGCCTCTTGGGGCACTCTGAGCGCGCTCTGGGGAGCCTGAGAGGCCGCACCCAGAAGGAAAACCATCTCTGAGTAGACTTGGTCGGGCGGCGGTCGGGCGGCGGTCGGGCGGCGACCGGGCGTTGGTCGGGGTACTTTTCGCCGGGGGACCCCCAGGGGCCGCCCCGCGCGCGCGAACTAGAAATACTGTTAATACTGTTAACCAGTTACCGGAGATCTTAGCACGCCCTGGCCCGTTGGGCCGGCGAATATTGTTTGTTGGCCGGGAAAGTGGCCTTGCGCACAGCAGACAATATGAGCCCCTCGCGCCGTCCCTGACAACAAGACAATACAAAGTGCTCGCGGGGCCCACGAGCATGATCCAAGATTCAGCCCCAAAGTGTATGATGTATTTCCCAACCATCCTGTGGTGTTGGGTCCTCGTTTTGAAGAAACGGTCCCCGCGTCTCCTACCCTCTCCTCTCCTCTCCTCTCCTCCTCCTCCTCCCTCCTCCCCCTCGTCCTTGCGTTTCACCCACCCAGTACAGCGTTTCGTAGCCCCATACGAGCTCCACCGAAGGCCCCAGTACCCGCGCCCGCATGCGTCAGCCACACCCAATTCGGCACACCCTTCACACGTTTCGTGGCTCCATAGGGAGCTCCACCGAAGGCCCTAGTGCCCGCGCCCGCATGCGTCACCCACACCCATTTCGGCACCCCCCACACGTTTCGTGGCTCCATAGGGAGCTCCACCGAAGGCCCCAGCGCCCGCGCCCGCATGCGTCACCCACACCCATTTCGGCACACCCCTCACACGCTTCGTGGCTCCATAGGGAGCTCCACCGAAGGCCCCCGTGCCCGCGCCCGCATGCGTCACCCACACCCATTTCGGCACACCCCTCACACGTTTCGTGGCTCCATAGGGAGCTCCACCGAAGGCCCCAGTGCCCGCGCCCGCATGCGTCACCCACACCCATTTCGGCACACCCCTCACACGTTCGTGGCTCCATAGGGAGCTCCACCGAAGGCCCCAGTGCCCGCGCCCGCATGCGTCACCCACACCCATTTCGGCACACCCCTCACACGTTTCGTGGCTCCATAGGGAGCTCCACCGAAGGCCCCAGTGCCCGCGCCCGCATGCGTCACCCACACCCATTTCGGCACACCCCTCACACGTTTCGTGGCTCCATAGGGAGCTCCACCGAAGGCCCCAGTGCCCGCGCCCGCATGCGTCACCCACACCCATTTCGGCACACCCCTCACACGTTTCGTGGCTCCATAGGGAGCTCCACCGAAGGCCCCAGTGCCCGCGCCCGCATGCGTCCCCACACCCATTTCGGCACACCCCTCACACGTTTCGTGGCTCCATAGGGAGCTCCACCGAAGGCCCCAGTGCCCGCGCCCGCATGCGTCACCCACACCCATTTCGGCACACCCCTCACACGTTTCGTGGCTCCATAGGGAGCTCCACCGAAGGCCCCAGTGCCCGCGCCCGCATGCGTCACCCACACCCATTTCGGCACACCCCTCACACGTTTCGTGGCTCCATAGGGAGCTCCACCGAAGGCCCCAGTGCCCGCGCCCGCATGCGTCACCCACA